ATACACAATATACCCACCCCAATATAATTGATCTCACAGAAAACACAATATAGTCAGTGCAGAGGGTATTTGAAGAGGTGGGTCCTGTGAGTCCTTGGTGGTTTCCCCAGGATTCACCCCCATTTTACAACTTTAACCCTCCTCATCTCCACCATTTCCCTAGCCAAGAATCCCAATGGTTCCTTTGGAAGCATAGAAACGATGCATGTGACTCAGTCAGTTTCTCTTCTGCGCAGCACGTTACTTCTTTTGTCTGCTAAAGCTGAGTACTGCGTCTGCAGTCCCTTCAGTCCATATTCCTGCACATTCCACAGTCCCTGCCTGCCATGAGAGACCGTCACTCTGAACTGACCTAAGGTCTCACACCACCATCCTCGTAGGCCACTTGGTCTATGTATGTCAAACCCCAAACCCCTTGCCGTGATGCATTTCATGGGCTCCTCACAAGCAGCCCTTACGCTCAGGCAAAGCACCCAGTGAAATTTTCAGGACCTAGTTCTTAGACTTTGAACAACTGCAAGAAACCTACAATCTCTCTCCTGTGTGACTTGGCTGACAGAATATCACTTCTGTTGGTGCTGGGGTCTTCCATGCACAAAGCTACAATTCTGATCAGTTCAGAGAGACAGAGGAGAGCCTGCTGGGACTGCAGCAGACTGGACCCAAGTCAGGTTTTACTGTAGGGTGGCAGGGCATAAGATTCAAAAGCCTTGCTGGGAAGTCGGGCTTTTTGAATAGTCTCCCGCTCTTAATCTCGATTGCCTAACTGCTTCCCCCGCACACACAGGAACAAGAAGAGCTCCCACCCATTAGCCACAAAATCTGCCTGTGAGAATAAAGGAGGAGTAGCAGCTTCAAATGTATTCAACACACCCCCACGTAACCCTCTGCACAAACCACCACTGGGAGGGACGTGAATAAATGGTGCAGCGGGAGGGGTGTGCATACATGATGGCCGCCCGCCGAGCAAGCGCCCCAGGGATTTCCAGAGCTAAATGCAGGAGCTGCTACAGCTTGAGCTAAAAGGTCAAGGTGCTGTAGCTGGGGGCTGTAACAACTCATCTCCTTGGTGGATCAGCACAGAGGGGGACTGGTCACGCCCCAGTGAGTGAGTGACACGTGGAAGCCACTGATGGGGCAATAGGGTCTCTATATAAACATCGTTCCTGCTCCTCAAATGCCCTACACAACTGTTGGCATAGGGGGGCCCGAGGCAAGCACCAGCCTTTTCACAGATTATTTTTTTGGGAGGGGGTGTCAGGTGGACCCCTTCTCTCTGCACTGCACACAGGTTATTTTGGTGAGCATGTATGTTCTGCACGATGGCAGAATTAAGCCCTACATGTGCTGTCAAGTATACACAGGAAAAAAGGACAGGAGGACTTGTGGCACCTTAGAGACTAACAAATTTATTTGAGCACAAGCTTTCATGGGCTACAGCTGACTTCACAATAGTAGAGATGGCTTTTATCTGGAATAATGAATTGGGTGGGAGAGCTGGGGGCACAGTCTCACACCTCTATAATAATGCGTTTCCCATAAACTGTATCCTTCAGCCAACAAATAAACATATTTGTTTTCAAATATTTGCCAGCGTGTCAGGAGACTGGCCAGTGGCCACAAAACAAACAGTATGAACCCAGGACTGGGCCAAGCACTTAAACTCTTGCCTCCCAAGGTGGAAGACCTGACTTCTAATAAAAACATCAGCCAAAAATTCACTTTGTGATCACCCTGGTCCCTTGAGGCCACCAGCATCTGAAGGTTTTGCAGGGCCAACCAAGTGCCATGCCCACCTATGGCCCAGCATAACTGAGAATGAGAGAGTCATAATCTGAATCCCAAACTCTTTACGACGGATTTATTCAGTCCTGGCTTTGGCAAAACGCCCAGTGGGTTTAATTCTGAAAATCTTCATTCACACCAGTCATTCCTTGCTCTTGTAAATTCCATTACATCAAGTAAAGAGATGGATTAAGGACTAAATTACAGCCTGCATCTCTGGGCCACACCTGTCACAGGGTTGGTCCTCTTTCCAGTCATCCCATTGTACTGTCTCTGGCTACTGACTATTTGCTTGCCTGTCTTTGCTGTCTCTGACCCCCTCCTCTTTCTGCGCCTAGCCACTCTTGGTAACAGCAGGAGCAAGTGGGTGCTGTTAATGGCATTCCTGGACAACACACCCACCCTACTGCTGTGCAAGGGGGCCACAGATGTGAACGTTTTCACTGCCAGGTGTTATCCCGTATCGAAGAACTAGAGATGGACCAAACCCAGGATCTGAACACTCCTGGACTTTGGGGAAATTCTGATCTGGGTCCTGATCTGAATTATGGGGCTAATCTCCAAAGAAGGTATCAGGTGTGGCTTACTGCCGTAATGCTGGGTCACCAGTGGTAAACGACATTTAGCATTAACAGATTCATCTCTGTCTTGTTTGTTTACAGATTCCACATATTTAGGAGGCAGCAAGTTCAGGTGTATTTTCGGAAAGAAATTGCTGAAAATCATGGGCATTAAGAACAAATGCAGTAGGCAACCCACCCCTTTCCCTCCTTCTATTCTTTCTTTGTGCTTAGTAGATGGCATAATAACAACAACAACAAATTGTGATTGTTACATGCACGTATAAGATACCCATCACCGTAGTATCGTGGTGCAATTTATAAGGTGTAAAGCTCAGTGTTAACATTTCCAAATTAAGGAGATGGTAAACACAGGGACTTATTTTTCCAAATCCTTGGGTAAAAAACTCTGCTCTTCAAGAATTTTGTAACAAGATCCAGTCACAAGAGTAAAAAACAACAAATCATTTATAGTTTCTACCCAAGTCATTTTTCAAAGTACTTTCGAGGGTCTATAGATTGTGGATCCAATTTTCAAACGTGGGCATCCCATACTGAGCCACAAATTACCACTGGGTAATTTACCATATTACCATACAAAATGGGGCATTTACTTGCCTAATTGCTGATGTGAGCATCCAAATGAAGGCACCTGCATTTGAAAACTGGGCTCAGTCCTTCTTCAGCTACCTCATATTCCCGGGAAAGGGGGAGGTTTTAATGTCTAGATTTGTGACTTCATTTAGGTTCCCACCTTTAGACAATTTAGACTATTCATTCATAGTATAGCTCAAGATCTTCCAAGTGGCCCCAGTAGATTTATTTATGGTTTGATTCAAGTTGTGATTGTTTTAGTTTGATAATCCCTCAGAATCAGACCTTCAACTGGCCTAAATCGTTGGAATCCCAGTGGAGTTATATTTACATCAATCTTTTCCCTGATCTACTGGGAAACACAGAGGATATTATTCCACAGCTGCACTGTGGCTGTGCTCCTGGTCCCAACTGAAGTCAATATCAGAATTCCCATTGACAGGATCAGGTGCTATATGAATAATGCCAAGAGACTCCAAGTTCTCAGAGCATCAGACGTCTTTGCATTTATGAGGTTGCCTGGCAGCGGGGGTTCTGGAACAATGAGTGATCAGTTTTGGAAACTTTCATGGCATCAAGGTTCTGTATCTGGTCTGTACAGAGAAGTAACTGGCAAACAGCCTTAGGTATGGTAGCTGAAATGCCAGGGCATTATTTCCCAGCGTTTTCTAATTATTCAACAAAATGATCCACCCTAGGCTATCTATTGGTACTATAATAGCACCTAGAGGCCTCTGTTGACCTCAAGACCCCATTCCACTAAGTGCTGTACAGACACATAAGAGACAGTCCCTGTTACAAAGACCTTACAGTCTAGAATGACAATACACACAGTAGAGGGGCTAAAAATCATTATCCCCATTGTACAGACGGAGAACTGATGCACAGAGAGAATAAGTGACGCGCCCAGGGTCACACAGAAAATCTGTGGCAGAGGCAGGAATGGAACCTTGCTCTCCTGAGTCCTAGTCTAGTGCCTCACCCACAAGACTGTCCTTCCCAAAAGGGCCAAAAGTTAGAATTATGTCTGCTGATTGCTGGCACTAGATACGAGCCTTGTCATTCTCTCCAGAAAATCACACTGCAGCTCTTGAAGACAGGGCAGATCTCATTAGCTTTGTTCTGAAAATCATTATTATCCCCTGCCAGTTCATCAGCATCTGAGCCTTAGCATCTGAGAATCAGTAACAGAACCCTGGCAAGCCCTGACCTGATTAGTTACCAATCTGAAGCTGGCTGAACGTTTCTCATTCCCACCCACACAACTCCTATAGTCGTGTCACCGCAATTAATTCGTGCCGTTCCATTTTGTGGCTGCCTATCACTGAGAACAGGACCTCAGAGCTGTCACTTTCTGCATGCACAGCGAAATTCTATAGGCTTCAAATAGACTTGTGATCATCTGCTTCGAAGTGTGGTTAGCCTAGCTAGTAGTCAATGTCGTAACGTAGCGGCTTATTCTTCACTCCCGACCTGTGCAACACTCCCGCCAACTCTGTGGTCCTGCATTTCTGATATGAATAATTTGGTGATAGACATTTTTATGGCCCCATCTCTATAATACCTGGGAACCTTACAAGCATTAACAAATCTGTTCTTGCAACACCTGCTAAAATAGGGAGGTGCCATTCTCCATTTTATAGCGAGGGAAACTGAGGCAGAGCAATGAAGTCACTTGTCCAAGATCATACAGGGACTTGGTGGCAAATCTGGGAATTGAACTCAGATCTCCTGAGTCCCAGCTGAGTGCTTTAACTATAAAACCTTGCATCTACTATAACCTCTGTGAATACTGAGTAAGAGTGTTACCATAGCCCAGTGCAGATTTAGGAGAAGTTTTTCCTGTAAATCTCTGCCCTGTTCCAGTTTTTTATTTTGTTCACACACACCTGCCATCGGTTTAATATCCGATCCCTCCTCTATCTAGGGACCATGCCCTGCACTGGCCATTGAATAAACTAGGGGACTTAATAGCATTGTGCTTTTCCATTGCTAGCTTCTGCTGAGATAGAGAAGACCTCACTAACCTGGCTCAAGTCTCCCTCTTTCTAATTCTTGCAGTTGCTTCCAGCGCATCTGAAGTGGAGCTGGTGGATGAAGCCAAGTCCAAAGGGAATAAAACAAATCACAAAACAGCCCCTGAAGTAGATCAGCCGGAAGACAAGAAGCCGGAGGACCCTCAGTCGCCGGGGCCATTCTTTTACATTGGCGGTGCTAATGGGGCTGGACTGTAAGTCATTCTACTCCCCAGAGACTTCTGTGTAGTTAGATTCATAGATTTTAAGGCCAGCAGGGACTATTTTGATCTTGTAGTTTGACCTCCTGCAAAGCACGGGCCTTAGACCCTCCCCTCGTTAATCTCTACAGCATCAAGCCCATAACTTCCTTTTAGCTACAGCATGTCTTTTAGAAAGACATCCAATCTTGATTTTAATACTGCAAGTGATGGAGAATCCACCCTGGCACTTGATAGTTTGTTCCAATGGTTAATTATCCTCACTGTTTATAAACTGAGCCTCTCTCTAGTCTGATTTCAGAGTAACAGCCGTGTTAGTCTGTATTCGCAAAAAGAAAAGGAGTACTTGTGGCACCTTAGAGACTAACCAATTTATTTGAGCATGAGCTTTCGTGAGCTACAGCTCACTTCATCAGATGCATACCATGGAAACTGTAGCAGACTTTATATATACACAGAGAGTGTATATATAAAGTCTGCTACAGTTTCCACGGTATGCATCTGATGAAGTGAGCTGTAGCTCACGAAAGCTCATGCTCAAATAAATTGGTTAGTCTCTAAGGTGCCACAAGTACTCCTTTTCTCTAGTCTGAATTTGTCTTGCTTCAACTTTCAGCCATTGGATTTTGTTATACCTTTTCCTGCCAGCTTCAAGTGCTGACTACTATCAAAAATCTATTCCCCTGCAGGTATTTGATCACAGCCTACAAATCACTTCTTAATCTTCTCTTTGATAAACTAAATAGATTGAACGTCTTAAGCCTCTCGCTAGAAGACAGTTACACCCTCCCACCTCAAGTCATTCTTGTAACTTTCCAATGTGCCAGCATCCTTTTTGAATTGCAATTTTGAACCTGACACAGAACAGGAGCAAACTTTGGGGCCCTGTCCGGCTCCTTGCTACAGCTCCCTGGGCTTTTCTAATTAACTCTTCCGGTGCCACCCCACTGGGTTTACAAACACATTCCGTTTTTCCAGTGGCTACGTAGCTGTTCTTTCTTCCCCCTCATTTCTGAAGTCTTAGGCAGAGATTTCTTGCCAAGTCACCCACTACACAGAGGAATCAGGGCTCCCACAAGTACCATTTCCCTCCTAATTGAAATAGCCCCATTTGACCAGATCAGCCTTTATTAATGAAGTCTGTACCATCATCATCATCACCTCTCAAAACCCCCAGTACAGTCCCACAAGGGTACACTCTAATTAACTAGAGAGGGGAGAAGCCCCCTCTCCCCCACCTCAGGGCTTGTAGGTGTTGTTGATTCAGCCCTCTAGGGACAACCTCAGGGAATTGAAGGACTCCGAACTAATTAACTCTTCATTAAAAGTGGTGGCTGCTTGGCTATTTTGTGCTCCGCGCAGGGTGAGCATCTACTGCAGGAGCAAAGGCTGGCAGCGTATCCATGACAACAAAAGGGAGGATTACAAACTGAAATGGTGCGAGACCAAGAGCCGAGAGACCTATTACAACTTCAAAGAAGGTAAGAGGTCAAAGCGGTGGCTGAGAGAGTTAGGGAGGAGGAGGAGGAGGAGGAGGATTTGGGTTCCCTGGCAGGGCACCTCTGCAGGAGCAATGGACGCATGAAGCCTTGGTGGAGAAGATGCCGCTGTGACTGCTCAGACCCCATGGTGATGGGGGCAGTATAAAGATATAGACCCAGAACACGAGCATCACTTTGGTACTGCCATGGGTGGATTGCACTCTTATCTGTCGAGCTGCATACTCAATCCAATATTATATCCACAGAGCACCCAATGACCAAACCAGGTGATGCCCCCAACCTTCTAGGCAGAGACAGAAAAGACACTTTCCCGAGCAGTTCTTGTGCATTAGATCCAATAAACGGTGCATTTGTGCAGTGAAATGATTGCTCTGTGCATACCCCAAGCCCAGCTATTTCTGGCTGTACTGAGAAGAGTCCCAAACTAAGCCACTCCAGGATAATAGGCGCATTTTGCATCATACTGCTTCACCTTGTGTGTAGGGACCTCCAAGTGCTTTTCAAAAGGTGGCCGTTATTACTGCTGGTGTCGCGCTAGGGAAACTGAGGCATAGAGGAGCTAAGCTGGAACTTTCTAAAATGGTGTGTGCTTTGTCCTCTGTGAAACACATGGCTGAATTTGCTCTTCATTTCACTGCTCCCTCTCCGATCTACTCTTCTCTCTTGCCCGCTGCGTACGCTTCTCTCATGCCTGATCTCCACTCCCCTTGGGCATGCTGCCCAGCTACCTAGTCCTCTTCCCACCACTGGCGGCTGGTAGATCCAGGCCTACTGGTAGCTCTAGTCCCTGAGAACCTTGGTTCCTCTTGTTTAGCAGTGGCCCCTCCTCATTCCCAGCTGCACTGATGAGTTTGAACCCCTGTGCTAGCAGCTGGGAAATGAAGTCAGCCTGGACTCCGCAGCCCATCAAGTGCTCTGCAAATCACAGATTGATACCACTGGCCTAGGAGACTTGCCTAAGGTGGCACGGAGGGCAACTCAGAGCTGCTGCCTTCCAGGCTCTTGCTCTTACTAAGAGACAATGCTACACCTGAATTCTTTTCAAAGCTAGTGCCGTAGGGGGTGGCCTGGCAGTGCAGCTCCACCTTGAGATCAGGGGAATGTTGTCTTCTAGCATAACTTGGTTTATGTCCCCTGAGGTCAAGGGAGCTGCTGTACTTCATGCCAGCTGAGAAACTGACCCTCAGGAAGGATGGATGCTTTAGAAGGGGGAGTATTTCACACAGGCTCGCTATCCTTAAATGGGACGTGAACGAGCAGAAAGAAAAGAAGCCCCTTTACAAGGGTTTAGATACTAAGGAGCCCTGAAAACTCTAAACCTCCATATAAAAGATCAGGCTAAGCATTCTGTGGATCTCCCTGGCCTAGAGATAAATCTAATCAGCATAACCAGGCTTCTTGGGGCCCAGCCAAACTCCCCACAGGAAGAGCATGAAACCAAGAACTCACAAAGGCCTCCTTTAGCCTGGTGCCTGATCAGATTTCACCCCAAAGAGAGGGGCTTTGTACAGCCAAAATGTAAACTAGCAGCTGGAGGGCTTTTCCCATACCCTCCCTCCTAGGAGCCCTAGGGCCAAAAAGCACCCAGCCCCTCCCTCTTAAAGTCTGGGTGCTGGGGAATTAATGCACTACAGCTGGCCCAGCCTGCTATCCCAGCAATCCCTATACTCAGGGTATGCAGCTGTGCTCATTCCTACAGGCAGGCCAGAGTGGGTTAACTCTTTCCCTGCCAATCCATGGGCAGGGTCTGGGCATGCCACTGCAGTTACAGTGGGGACATGCCAGCTCTTTGGCCAGATTATGCCATTAAAGCAGAGGATGTGGGAGGGGGTCAAACTGCAGGGGGAAGCCTTTGCAGGCTAGAATTCCTCCTGGCCCCTGGACAGCCGTTCCACCAGTCTTTGACAGGGGCAGAGTGCCTGTTCTGGGATGACACATCTCTGCTGGCAGATGCATGGATAAAAGAGCAGGAGACACTGTGCTACCTTCACCCTGGCCCTCCTCACTTGCACCCCAGTCCAGCATGCTGCCTGCATGATCTTGTCATCCTATGGATGTCCCCTGAAGGGTGGTACCGGGGAGGAAGGGAGGGGACAGGAAAGCTCCTTCCTCACATTGGGCACCCACACAGGACCAGAGACAACCTGGCCCTGTGTATATAACAGTATCACCATTGCACTGTAAGTGGCAGGCTGGGTGGCTGCTACTGTGGCAAAGCAAACTCACAGAGGTGCTGTGAGGGAGAAGGAGTGTGTGTGGTCTGTCCCTTCTGGTTTCAGGGCAGGTATCAGCTCCTCGGCAAGCCGTTTAGCAGATGGGGAATTTTACTCTGCAGGCAGGATTTACCTCCACGTCCCAGCCCGGGCGGTGTGGCCCATGAAGGATATGTTTTGTTTTCTAATGCAGGTGAACAGCTTCTCTACCAGATCCCCAACAATAAGGTCCTCACTACTAAGATTGGCCTTTTGAGCAACCTGAGGGAGTATGAGCGGGTGATGAACAAGATCAGCAAGAACTTGAATGCCAAGTAAGGACTGCACATCCTTTTGGGCATTACACAGCCAGAATATAGAAACCCGTGTCACTTGGGAGAGGTACCATATAAAGGAGAAGTTGGATAGATGATCACCTCATTGATGGGATGAGCAATCATCTGGTAGAGACGGGCTTGTGAGACCCATCATGGAAATCCTTGGTTTCTCCACCCTGTGATTAAAACTGATCTCTGATTAAGCTCTGATGAAACTCCACCCTCTACTTTGATCTTAGAACTTTTCAGAATCATTAAGCTAGCCAACCAATTCCGTTTGTATAGCTCCACTGATGATGGACAAAGCAAAGATTGTTTTAAGAAGCCATCGTGTGCCACCATATTTAACTTTGGCTTCACTAGATGTCACACTAACTCATGCAGAGTCTCATATCAATTAACCCAACATGGTACAGCACAATCAGCTCTGGGGACACCAGGCTTTCTCTTCTTTTCTAAAGTCTTGTATGCTCTTCTTTCCTCTCCTCCATCCGCTCATCTTTTGACCTCATGTTTTGATCCAAAGCCCACTGGGAGTTAATGGAAGTCTTTCCACTGATTTCAGTGGATTCTGGAGCATGCCCTTGGTGGCTGATCAGAGTGAAGTAGCTTTTCTCCAGTACTCAGCTGTAGTTAAGTTCAATGGTCCATGTTTTCTGCTTCAACCTTCTAAAGATCTTAGTCTTCACTTCAAATTATCTAAGCTGAGGTGGATGCTGAGTGCTACATTTTTAGTAGGCTTTAACTTGGTCCATAGTTTTTTGGGGTTCAGTTTTACTCCTCCAACTAACTGTGCCAGCATTTTTGTGTCTTCACTGGCATTAATATTGGGTTGTAGTCACCCACCTATTCTGTGGGTTTAATCTCTTTGGTTATTTTGAGTATGAAAGAAGAGGTATAAAAGCCATGGCGGTGGGGGGTGGGGGGTTGATTTTTATTTTTTTTTTACTCCTTGAAGGAGTAAATTAGAGAAAAGAATCCATCTTTTATTTATGCCTGGGACTGTGGAAATGCCTGATCCCCAAAGGTACCAGTTGTAATGAATCCCCCCGTGAAAGACGAGGTGGGAACTCCTAAAGCTCTAGAGCATTTTGTAAATATCAGACACAGCACATGACCACCTCTGCTGCAGACTTATCTGTACCGTAAACGACCTCTGCCATGGTTATCTGAGGTCCTGTCTGTTAGTTTGCAGCAAACCTAGTGTGCAAAGGACATCATCAAGGCCAACAGAAATTCTGTCGAGATTAACGAAATATTTGGCCATGTCTTAGCATATATTCTCCAGCATTCCCTCCTGGGACTTTTTCCATTATTCAGATTTGGAGAAGAAGCTCTAGTTTTGCCCAAATCCTTGTCTACCTCTGATAAACAGTCAATATTGATTTACAAGCTGCTGCATGTCCCAAAGTCCCGAAGAGCTTGATGCAATATTATAAGGGATGCGCTCAAGACCCAGAAGTCAGACCCAGATTTGAACTTTCCCAAAAGTTGGAGCCTGGGGTTGAGACTCAGGCTCGCCTCTAGAGGTGACCAAGAAAAAAATAATTATTGTGAGTAAAAGGCAGCCTTCCCCAATGGAAATAAAAGAGTGCAGGGGAAAAGACAAGGGGAAAAAAATCCATAACCCAAGTCTACAGTAAGATGTGCCCTGCTTCCCCCACCTCTTGTCTGATGAGAACTCAAAAAGGGCTGTATGGCTCAGGAAAGGTTTTTTTGGCTTATTGTCGGTTCTCCCACAGGGTACTGAAGATGGAAGACTTCTTCCCAGAATCCTTTCGGCTGGACATAAAAGATGAGAGAGAAGCTTTCTTTGAACTTTACAAAGGTGACTGGCCTTTGCATGTTAGCGGCCAATGATGAGGTCAAGTGTTCTGGGAGAAACATTGTTTTTTAAATGGCTTAAAGAAAAGGAGTACTTGTGGCACCTTAGAGACTAACCAATTTATTTGAGCATGAGCTTTCGTGAGCTACAGCTCACGAAAGCTCATGCTCAAATAAATTGGTTAGTCTCTAAGGTGCCACAAGTACTCCTTTTCTTTTTGCGAATACAGACTAACACGGCTGTTACTCTGAAACCTGTCTTAAATGGCTTAGTGATCCCAAAGTAATTATGAAAAAGCAATGAGGGGCTTCCCTGCCCCCCTTTGCTCCCCAGTACCTGCCCACTCCTTCAAGTACCCCAGAAATCCCTGGTGTGTTAGCAAGGTGCCTATGGCTTCTCTGACCTGCCCAAGAATCAATCATGCTACAGCTCTAAGCAGCCCTTTCAGCCTCTCTTCTGGAATATCAGTAGGGCTAGAGAATGAACAGTAAATGTCCTGAATCCCCAGGAATATCAGCAACATGTGGGATATTCATCTAGACCCGAATACTGCTGACAGGTGGGCTACTCAGAGAACGTGACTCGCTCGTCCCCAGTTTCTCTGACACGAAGCCCAAATATGCCCCTTCAACATTCAGATGGTTTTGATTGGCCCAGAAGTTCCCCACCCCACTGTCTCTAGCCAGCTGTCAGCTGCCTTATAGGTATCTCCTTGCACAACATCCCCGCCTCCAAGCTGTCCAAACCCTGGAGACAGATTCTTGTCTTGGGCAGTGTCAGAAAGAGGCTCCCGCCAACTTTCTCCCTTCAGCGGTTCCCTTGGCCATCATCACTAGACATCATCACCAGCACTTTTGTTTGCCCGCTCGCTTCTTCAACACACCCGCAAAAGCATCCTGGAGGCCAGCTGCAAATGCACTTGAAGGCCCCATCATTCAGGAGGCGGAAACAGAGTCCAGTCTCCAAAGCGAATGATGTATGGAGGAAACTGATACCGCTGAACAAAGCCTTCCCAGCTGTTGGCAGTGCCATTTCCTCGACATTCTCAGCTGCTGCACGCGCAGCAGACACTACTGAATTTGGGACTTGAACTCAGACCCCTGCAGAGTAAGCGATTACCTGCCATCAGGCTGCCCCCATGTAACCTCAAAGGAGCTGATATATCCTGGCACTGAGCTGTTACAATAAACCAGGATCCATATATTGACTAGTTATCATAGTAGAGCTGAGACCAACCGATAAAACCCAGCTCCAGATCTTAAATGACACCAGTGCTTGGGAGTGTTCAGATCTTGTGTTAACCCCAGGCCCTTCTTTATTTGTGAGATACGATATTTAAATATATATTCAAATGAGCATGTTTCAGCACCCATTAATTGAGCACGTTGGTGTCTCGGGATAACATGCTTTAGACCAGTGGTCCCCCGACTTGTTCCGCCGCTTATGCAGGGAAAGCCCCTGGTGGGCCAGGCCGATTTGTTTACCTGCCGCGTCCGCACGTTCGGCCCATCGCGGCTCACAGTGGTCGCGGTTCACTGCTCCAGGCCAATGGGAGCTGCTGGAAGCGGTGGCCAGTACATCCCTCAGTCCGCGCCGCTTCCAGCAGCTCCCATTGGCCTGGAGCAGCGAACCACGGCCATTGGGAGCCACCAGTACGTCCCTCAGCCCGCACCGCTTTCAGCAACTCCCATTGGCCTGGAGCAGCGAACCGCGGCCACTGGGAGCCTCCAGTACGTCCCTCGGCCCGTGACGCTTCCAGCAGCTCCCATTGGCCTGGAGCAGCGAACCGCGGCCACTGGGAGCTGCGATCGGCCGAACCTGTGGACGTGGCAGGTAAACAAACCAGCCTGGCCCGCAAGGGTCTTTCCCTGCACAAGCGGTGGAACAAGTCTGGGAACCACTGCTTTAGGGAATGTACAGTACCCATAACTACACTGTAATCTTGTCTGCAGACACACAGATTTGGATCTGCAAACCCACCTGCTCCAACCAAGGGCGAGGAATTTTCCTGCTTAAAAATCAAGCAGGTGTCCACTCGCTTCAGGCCAAGCTCCAGAGCATCAAAGAAGATCCTCTGTACAAGAAGGTGCCGTACAAAGCTCCCCAGGCAAGAATAGTGCAAAGGTAGAGAATGCAGCAGGTGGGCACTCCATTGCATCCATTTGCAATCCAGCTAGTGCTGGTGACAAAGGGGAAGAAGGGTGTTCCCGTGATGTTGAGGCAGAATTGCAAGCTGGAAGAGCTGGGTTCCCCTCCTGAATCTGCCACAGACATGCTCTGTGAACTCGAGTAAATTGCTTTGCTTCACTTCATTTCTCTTAGCCAAATCCAGAGCCCCTTGCTCATTTCCCACTCAGACCTTTATAAGGGAAACTCCCTCTGACTTCAGCTTGGAAACTGAAAAAGAACTGGGTCTGGCACTCTCCACCCCTGTGTCATCCAGTCCCCTGAAGGTCAGTGTTTCTGAAAGCAGCTGCCTGAGCACTGAAATATTTGAGATCACTTCTATGGGTCTGATCCAGTGCTCCAAGAATTCAGTGGGAAGGTTCCAGCTGACCTCCATGGGCACTCAGTCAGACCTTATTGACCTTAATAACTTGAATCCCTTCACAGCTGTTTGATGGCTCACACCATCTTTTCTCAGTGGCCTCAGATTCACTATGTTTTGTGGGTAGAGGGCTATTTCTCAGCTGAGCCTGTTTCAACACTTTCATGTCTGACATTTGGAGATAGATCATCACCATCAAACAGGAGATTTGAGATGATCTTTGTCTGGCAATGTAAGAATGACTTCCAAAGGCCAAATGCTATGGATTCATACATGACAAAAAGCCTTGTAGAGAGCCATTTGAATTAGGTATTATCCCAGCTTGTGACACCATGCCAAGATTTCACACACCATACAGCTGCAGCATCTGTTCCACCCATTCTATGCCTTGCCTCCTATATATCTGTTGAAGTCTGCCTGGAAGCTATGAGCTTCTTGACCTCAAACAGGAACTGCTATTGTAGATACTCATGGCTGATAGTCAAAGGAGACACATACTTTCTTTGTAAGAACTTCATAGCTAACTACATTTTTTTAAGCCAAAGCCCAGAGAGTCTCTGGCTACCAGATGTAACTGCTGTTTCCTTCTGATGTCTCTGCAAGTGTCATACTCCAGGGCAGTGCAATAACTCCATATAGCTTTCTTTTGTAGAGCATCTCTCTTATCAGCTGCATCCCAGAATGCTTTGCAGAGTTGAATAACACAGCCGTGGCAGAAGGAGAGTGAAGTTAGACTAGCAGAAGCAAGGGAGAAAGTTTTCAGCTGAGATTTGAAAAGTGATGGAAAGCTGATGAGGTGGACAGGTGCAAGAAGGAACACAAATAAGGAGCTGTGGAGGAGCAAGCTCTTCCCCAGAACAGGTCCAGTCTCTGTGTACGGACATAGGTACCTAAATAAAGAGATCCCAGTCCACTAACTAACCACATACAAACAGCAACCACCATTCAGCAAGGTGTGAGTTAGATTTCCAGCGATCAGTACAGTGAAACCCATACAAGAGGCCCTTACTTGGTAATCTCCCATTCTAAGGCAGTGCTCCAAACTGTCCCCAGAAATAAAGGGGGTGTGTTTCAAGAGCACTGAGCAGTGGCTTAGCACCTATGTTCCCACAGAAGTCAATGGGCGTCATTTTAATAGGAGCAGAAACAAATCCAACCCTGAGAGCCTGTGAAAATCCACACCCATAGTACACAACTCAGTCCCCTCTTTATTAGACACATCCTTATCCAACCAATATTTGTTGGTCTCTTGAGTGGTCACATAAGACAAGGTTCATTCCATTTTGCAGGTGGAGCTTGAGAATTATTGTTATTATTATTAATTATTTGCATTACCAGAGCTCTTATAAGCCCTAGTCTTGGCCCTGGACTCCATTGTGCCAGGCACAGTACAAACACGGAACAAAATATGACTCCTGCCACAAAGAATCCAGACTGGGTATGTGCTCAGACGGATCCAGATAAGAGTTCTTCACTGCATAAACTTTCTACTGACTCACCCTCTGTCCTTAGGCAACTCACTAAACTGCTCTCAGTTCCCCATCTTTGAAATAAGAATAGGAAATACTCAGGTCCCAAGTGAGAGCTGGGTTGATTAATTCATTGATTTTTCTAAAGTGCCTTGAACTTCGTGAATGAGATGCACTACAGACATGCAAAGTGTTGTCATTATTTATATAATGAGCTGTAATTCACAGACACCCCTCCTGGCTTTCATGGGACAGCCTGGATTCTAAGTGGTTGTTTGGTTCAGTAATCTTGAAGCTAGGCTTCCAGTACACTTCAAGCAACCCAATGACCAACACTATATTATCATGATCAAGTGTGATCAAGGTGTGACTTGCCACATGGCATGCCAACATCATAGTGCGATATACTAAGGGCATGACAAATTTATCATAGTGTGACATTAGCATGATCCATCATGGTGCTGTTTACATCACCCCACCATGCCAGTGGGTCACAACGCAGACATTCTGATATGACAACTTAGCAATTTTATCCCAGAAGGTCAAGAACACAAAACTCCAAACTTCCCAGTCAACTCAAGCAATTAGTCCATTTTATCCTTGTCAGACTATTACGATAAATCTCTCTTCACAAGGAAGGTGTTAGCCGGTCTAATTGGGAAGGACAGGAGAGTCTTGTAAGAGGGCAAGTCTGAACTGCCAGCCCTTCTGCGGTAGGACAGGTCTGGGTATGCAGTAGCTTGCACATAGAAGCAGAGGAATTGATAGCCTGGATCAAACCCAAGGTCCATTTGTCCGGTATCCTGTTTCCAACAGTGACCAATACCACATGATTCAGAGGACGCTGTAAGAACCTTGCAGTAGCACATGTGGGGTAATCTGCCCCCCACATTAGGTCTCATTCTCATATAGTCTGACCACCTGGACAGCTCAGATCCCAGAAGCTCACCCACCCTTTCCTGTAACAGACCTATGACTTCTGGCTCAGTTACTGAAGTCCTCAAATCTTGATTTATAGACTTCAAGTTACAGAGAACCCACTATTTTACTCTAGTTCAAACCAGTGCATGATTGGTGCCCCCACATGGTGCAGAGAAAAGTCCTCTGCCAACCTGACCTGAGGGCAAATTCTTTCCTGACCCCAAAACCTGATCTCCAATAGCGAGAGACTGGGTTAAGGATGAGGTTTATCATCCTGTCCAAAAATGTTGTTAGTTTTAACTGTTAGAACTCTGGGTATTCTTGTTATCCACATAAATGTCCACTCCCCTTTGGTGAGAAGAGACGGCATACTGCTCCTAAATGATATCACTCTGTGATGGGTTCTTTGTATTCAAATGCAAACTCTGTATACTCTCCAGTAAATATTAGTCACTCTTTAATTCCCTCCCACTCTACAAATGTGGCATACGCTTTTATTCCTTTAATGTTCAAATGCTCAGCTTCTCTTCCTGCCATTTCACTTTGCGTCCTAACAGTGCCCTCTCCTGTCAGTGTCCACAAAGAAATGTTGGGTTAGACCATAAGATGAATGAATGGGTTTGTTTTGTGGTGTGTAATGAGACTATAGCATTTTTAAACCAACTAGAAAACTCCGCATGACCTGGAGAACTGTGCTGCCAATGGGGAGGGGCAGGGCAAGCTAATTTATCTGAATGTGTCAAGAAATTTAATCTTTCTCTTTCTACCTTCTGCAATATGACAGGTTGCAGATTAGAAGCTGTGTTAGTGTGTATCCGCAAAAAGAACAGGAGGACTTGTGGCACCTTAGAGACGAACCAATTTATTTGAGCATAAGCTTTCGTGAGCTACAGCTCACTTCATTGGATGCATTCAGTGGAAAATACAGTTTCCACTGAATGCATCTGATGAAGTGAGCTGTAGCTCAAGAAAGCTCATGCTCAAATAAATTGGTTAGTCTCTAAGGTGCCACAAATACTCACTCCTTTTCTTTTTACCTTCTGCAATGTGTCCCTTGTTTTCAGGCAGAAAAGAAACTCTCCAGTACTACATGCTGCCCGAAATTCTCCTTCTGAGAACAGCAGAAGTGGGGGATGGGAGGGGGAGGCCTAGCCCTTTATTCTGGCTATATTAATTCCATTGAGCAGCTGATTCAGTGGTCTGTCCTGAATATAATTCACAGATTTTGTGGCCAGAAGGGACAATTGTCTAGTCTGCCCTCCTATATAGCACAAGCCATAGAACTGTCCCAAAATAATTCCTAGAACAGATATTATAGAAGAAACATCCCATCTTGATTTAAAATCTTCCAGTGATTCTGAATCCATCACAACCCTTGATAAATTGTCCCAACAATTATTCTCACTGTTAAAAATGTATGCCTTATTTCCAGTCTCAATTTGACTAGCTTCAACTTTCAGCCATTGGATCGTGTCATGCCTTTCTCTGTTAGACAGAAGAGCCCATTATTAAATATTTGTTCCCCATGTAGATATTTATAGACTGTAATCAAGTCACCCCTCTTCTCTGTTAAGCTAAATAGACCGAGCTTTTTGAATCTATCACTATAAGGCATGTTTTCTAATCCTTTAATCATTCTCGGGGCTCTTCTCTGAACCCTTTCCAGTGGGAGATAGACATGTAAATACTTTATTGAATCTGGGCCTTAGTTTTTAATGGGTCAGCATCTCTCAAGATTTGTCCCAGGGTAACTATAATGTTAGCACTGCTGTGTGCCTTAGTTGTTTGGGTAACTCATTGAGAGCCAGAGTTTATAGCAACATGGTCACTTCCATGGTAGGACTGAACTGTGATGTCGCTATCAACGAATGTTAAAGTCACTGCTAAAAGCAATCAGAGCTGGGGGACATGAATAGGATGAGAGTTGAAGTGTTGTCTGTTAGAGAAAATGACTTTCTATAGTTGCCCCCTTAACTTTTTTAACCAACCTGCTCTATTTACAAGTTAAAAGATAGGTGTTTTTCTAACTGCCTACCTCGCAAACTCAACCTCACAGCTAAAAGTCTAGAGGGTTTCTTTCTAGCTCTACTTGACAAGTCTGTTGATGACGCATGAGCTAGAAAAGAATCTAGGTCACTCGCACTGTCATGGCACAACACAGTCGAGAGGTGTTAAAGTGCTAATATACTTTAGTCCGTATAGCTCTGATATGACTCTGAATACACACGCAAGCCATAGATCTGATGAGTGAAATGATGCCACTTTAACATGGTTGCTTTTCAGAGCAGAACTACACTTTAAGGGACAGAGAGAGACAAGGTGGGTGAGGTGGTGTGTTTTATAGAACTGACTTCTGTTGGTCGAAAGCTTGTCTCTCTCACCAACAGAATTTAGTTGGTCCAACCAAAGATATTACCTCACCCACCTTGTCTCTTTAATATTCTGGGGCTGACATGGCTACAACTATACTGCATACTTTAAGACACATCGTTATTTACACACAGAGGGACCCGCATCTGCCCTCCTCACTCAAACCACTCTCCCATTTGACTCCACTGGGAGTTTTGCCTGAGCGCGGATGATTGGATTGGGCCAAAATGTCAACAGAGGTGAGGGGAAGGGAAATATAGGACAAGAAAGTAGCCGTTTAGTGGGTCATTTGGTTTTGTTCATCAGCTTTCAGCTTCTGTTAAACTTAATCTTTTTGGGTAGCCTCTCCCTCCCATTGATCTAAATCCGTACTTATGGAGTAAAGTGATCAGAGGCTGATCCTGTGTCAATTGAAATCAACGGCAATGCTCCTAGTGACTTCCAAGGGCACAGGAGTGAGTCGTTAACTCCCCATGCTACAGCCCTTCATGTCCTTTCTTGATGTCACATCTTGCACTTTCACTCTGGCAGGTATATCGAAAAGCCTCTGCTCCTAGAGGGGAAGAAGTTTGATGTCCGTTCTTACCTCCTCATTGCCTGCACGGTGCCTTACGTAGTATTTTTCGGCCATGGCTATGTCCGACTTACCTGCACCCACTACGATGCCACTTCTGATGACCTCACTGCTCATCTGACCAATCAGGTAAGCTGAAAATATATCCATCTATCCACCCTCTGTGATCTGATTGGATGGTGCCAGGAGGTCCCCTTTGTGCCCATAGACCAGTAAAATGATGGACTAGAGATGTCACTATTAGCAAGTGGGGAAGTTGATTTAGGTGCATTCTGGGAGGCAGTTCTGACAGAGATGGGACTCCCAAAAGCAGGGTGCCTTGAGAGGCTACTGATGTGGTTCATGAGTATGTGACCCTTGCACTTTGGCTGGTATGGGAGTGATTGGATCAAGATCCCAAATGTATTATGGCCAAATGGACAGGGTACTGGATTTGGATTCTGTTCTCTGCCACTGATCTGCTGTGTGATCTTAGGTGAGACAGTTCCCCTCTCTGGGTCTCTTTTCCCTTAGTCTGTCTTGCGTACGCAGATCGTAAGGTCTTTGGGACAGAGACAATATATCCCTTGACGGATCTGGGGCCTCGGTCGCTGGTGCTACCATAATTCAAATAAATAATAAACATGCAGCATGCATTTATTAAAACGTGTCTTTAATAAAGCATGCCTCTTGCTAGCTCTTGGAATTAAACCTTGATCTTTGCCAGCTTTGCTACCTCCAAGTGAGACCCTTGCACTGGGCCCTGTTATCTGCCAAACGCCCAGCCCACCCTCTCTCCCGCTAGTAACAGCCCCAAAGGGGGGCAGAAGCTTCCTGTGAATGGGGAGGCCGAGGGAGAGGAGGGGGAACAAGGCAAGCTACCGAGACTCTTGGGGAAGGGGAGGAATCAGATCCAGGCTGTGAAGGGGCATCCCGGTAGGTCCTACGGCCATTCCTATGGCATTTCGAGAGCAGCTGATGCCCAGTACCCTGTGTTCCCCCGCCCTTCTTGGTGTTTGGCACCCTGACCTCTGCCCAGGTTTTGGTGCCCTCTCCTGTCTCCCACCTGCCCTGGCGGTTGGGGCACTTACTGCCCATCCCCCCAGGGTGTCTGTGCAAGGACCCATGGCAGCTAGAAGGCGGGACCTGGGCTGGGCCAGGGAGTCCTACTTGCTCCCCGGTGGCTGGCCTAGTCTCACGTTCTGCGGTGGCTGCTCCAGTCCCTCCTCCAGGTCTTGCTCTCCTCTGCCCCCGCTTCCCTCCCTGCTTGTGGGGCCCGAAATACAGCTGGATGCTGCTCAAACCCCCACAATGTATTGTGAGGGTGCAAACCAGTGGGTGGGGTGGAGACATTGACCCACCACCCCCAATATTTCCAAACACACCTGCCCACCCCCCCAGTTCCACGGCCCCATGCGATCCCCTTGCTCAACATATACCAAGCAGGGGACCAAAGTCCACCAGAGGTTTTGCGTCACACGAGGCCCACATCAGCTAGGGCTGACCCCGGCGGTAGAGAGTAAATGGGCACTTAGGAAAGAAACCACAGGGAAGAAAAGTGTTTCGCCTGTAATGCATGTGCTCCCTCCAGTGGAATGGTGTGTTCCGAAGAGCCAGGTGGGGAGATCTCCCAGACTCGCCCACTTTGTTTCTTGCAGGAGTTTTATTGTTATTGCAGAAGGGTAGCTCAGGACACGTATTATAGCCACTTTCGGCAATATATGCTGTTATCAACTTGTTTTCCTGGAGCAGGGTTGTTTGCTCAGCTCGAGGGCTGTGCGCAGGGGATTTCAAGTGCTCAGGTGAGACCCTCTGGCACGACCGACATCAAACAAGGGACAGGTGTTTATTAGCAGAGCATAAATTACCTAGAAACCTGTCGGGAAGAGGGGGAAAGGTAACTCACCTGAGCAGCTGGCAACGTGGAGGACTTTTTTTCAAACTACACTTGATTCTGTCCTTCCTCCCCCGTGCCAGGAAGGCAGCCATTTTTCTCTTGTATGTTTCAAATGTCAAGCAGAACCATTTTCCACAGCGCACCTCTACGAAAACGCCCTGCAGTTGGATAACAAGGTAGCTTGCTCCCCTTGCTGCAGGGAACTTTGCTTTGCTAAACACCAGCACTGTTTTGGGTTAAATGCACAATCATCTCTAGCTTGACACAGAAAGTGCAGTGTCAAAGCTTTGTTCCAAATGTATTTATCTGTAAATCTACACAGAGCCGATGACTAATTTGGCATCCCGTTTCAATGATTAATTAATTATTAATTCTTATTGTATGTGTTGTTTGTATTACCCTAGTACCTAGGAGCCATAGTAATGGACTGGGACCCCACTGTGCCAGGCACTGTACAAACACAGAACAAAAAGCCAGTCCCTCTCTCAAAGAGCCTACAGTCTATGGATGGGACAAATTCATATCTGATTTCGGTCCATTGAAGTACATGAACCAACATTAGCACATTTGGTCCACTTTTGTTTGCAGATGGACTCAAACCAAAACCCTGATTCATGTTTGAAATTCTGGCCCAGATCCCAATTTTGCTGCTGGTGCCTGTCTTAGTTTTGGATTTTACCTTCCTCTAATCCCAGCTAAGGACACATCTGGGGGAGCCGAGGTCTTGCACCTAGGACAAACGCTCCCTTTCTCCCACGCCACCTCATTAATACACCCCTGCCAGCCAGTCAGTGGCTTTCCGTCCCACGAGTCAGGCAACAGCTCATCAACAGAGAGGGGCTGATTTTGTTTCACAAGCAAGCACAAGGGAATGTGAAAATGGATCCTGAAACCTTGGAAAGAAAGCTACTGTTGTGTCTGTTTCCATCGACAACCCTTCCCCCCCCCCCCCCCCTTTTTTTAAGAGCTTTGCCATGTTTTATAAACCAGCTTTTAAAGGGTCTCTCAGCCCAAATCAAATCTGTAGTTATTGAGCCAGACCCTCGGCTGGTGTAAACCAGTGGACCCCATGGAAATGATTGGAGCGCCACTGATTTACACCAACTGAGGATTTGTCCCATTATTTTTTACAAACTTGTCTTTCTCCTTTAGGCTGACCAGACAGCAAGTGTGAAAAATTGGGACAGAGGATGGGGGGGGTAATAGGAGCCTATATAAGAAAAAGCCCCAAATATTGGGACTGTCCCTATAAAATCGGGACATCTGGTCACCCTATTTTCCTTTGACAAGGTGAAGTTTGTTCCATCCAGCGCTGGTCCTTGTGAGGCGCTGCTGAGGGTGCTCAGCACCTCGCAGGATCAGGCCCTCTGTTTTCAAGGGGCACGTGCTGGCAGGAGCCAGTATGCACTTATCTTATGAGGACAGGTGGGAGTGGGAAGACAAAGGCTCAACAAGTGATAGGCCTCATTTGCCTCTTGCCCCGGCCAGGGGACAGTGCTTTAAACTGAAACCAGGATGAGATGCAGACAGCTCCACTAATCAGAAGTTTTGCAGCTTAGCAGCAATTGCATGGCAGATATGTTTGCAATCCTGCCCAGCTGTTGCATAAGGAGAGGGGATTTATCTCTCACTGGCGAATGCAAACACCCAGGGCTTGATAAGGCTCCACCTTACCCGAGGATTAATGAGACAGTGGAATTGAGACTTCTTCTCCCTGATTTCCTCTAGAGATACACACATGTGCATGTTTCCCAGGCGCTCTCTCTCTCTTGCAGCTTCCCTTCCCAGCAGAGAGACACTCTCCGGAAGTGGGTTTATTCCTGGTTGTGTGGGGGAGTGTTACACTAGGCTGGGAGCATGGCCTCGTCCTGCCTGTCGCATGGCGAGCCGGGGGGGCTGTGTGTTCACAAAGAGAAATGCCTTCCTAAAAATGCCTGACGCTGCTTTAACACAGTTGCTGGGTAATGGGGGCTGCTGTAAGCATGCATCACAGGCTGCCTGCCCCTAAAGTGATATCATCTAGGCAGCAGCCAGTGGAACGGGAAGGAAAAGGATAATATAGAGCAGGGCACTGGGAGTCTGGACTCCCAGTCCCAGGGTCTGATTCTCAGTGAGTCCATTCCAGGCCTTGGGCAGGGAATGGGGAGGGGGGTTAATGTAGTTTTAAGCCACCTTTGGGGCATTCTCTATGTTCTGGGGCCCTACAGGGGCCTGCCCCCCGATGAGGCTGTTTCTCATGGGTCTGCATGGGGCCCTGGGAAGCCGAGAATAGCTGCAGTACAGTGCCATGGTCCCAGCGGGCCTCCAATCCAACCCTTAGTCCCGGGGCTGCAAGCAGGGCTGGGGTGGAGCACTGGGGGGGACTGGGGAGAGGCTTGTGTAGCGAGCGTTCTCAGGGGGATGTTTATGCCCACTTCAAGCAGCATCACAGGGCTTTAATGCAACTGAGAATCAGGCCTCTGGACTCTGTTCCCAGCTCCGTCACTGACTCCCTGTGTGTCACTTCACCTCCAGGCTGGGAAGCAAATGGACTTTCAGGCTTGGCTATGAGGCGCTTTCTAGCAGGTCCTCTGTGCACTGTGACTGCTAGCTAAGACTCTGGGTGGGCTCAGACTATCTTTGTGTCCACACTGCACCCCTAGTTCTGATTGCATCCGGGCTGCCTGAAACTTGTGCATTCAGGGATTGATCCTTCGAGGCACTGAGCGCCCTTAACACCCACTGACTTCAATGGACATTGAGGGTACTCAGCACCTCACAGGAGGACTTAGTAACATTCTGCAGGATCAAGCGTTAGGACTCTAGGTCTGATCTCACCCACCCTCATATTTCCCATGGTGTCAGTGAGCTCACTCATCTTAGCAATTCAAGGGGCTGACCTGCACCCTGGCCTCCAAGAGGCCAATGGGAATTGTGGGTACCCAGCACCTTCCCGAGCAGGGTCCCAAAGCAAAACATGAGGTAAACAAGTCTGGAACTTCCAGCTGGGAATTCTGACATGGGAGCCAGAGCCCTAAAGCCATCAGAGCTAAACCCTCTGAGCAAGGGTGCTTGGGAAGAACAGACTGGCCACAACTCCTAGCCCAGAGCGTTCCTTCTGCAGTTCTCACTTGGATCCGCTTGTTTTCCCATCTCTTGGGCCAGGTGGCAACTCAGAACCTATGGTTTGAGTCTGGTTTCCTTATGACCATTCCTCTCTTCCCCTCCCCATTCCTCATTGCAGGGAGGGGGAAATCTAAGCCTTTTAACTAACCATCCCTTCGCTTTCTCCATCCTCCCTTCCCCCCCAGTACATGCAGAAGAAAAACCCCCTGTACAGTCAGCTGAAGGAGGAGACGGTGTGGCGGATGGAGCGCTTTAACAGCTACGTTAATGATAAATTCAGGCAAGCCAAGGGCCTCCCCAAGGACTGGGTCTTCACCGTGTTCACTGTGAGTGTATGGGGAGCCTGTGTGCGTGCGCGGTGTTAATTAGGATTCCTGGAACAGGAGGGAGGGCAAATCTGCTTGCTTCTCAGATGCCTGAGGGGAAACAGAGGGGCATCAAGTAGGGGAAGGTATTGGCAACACCATAGTAACCGTTTACCAGCAGATGCTGAATGCAGCAGCATTTTACTGTTAAAAACCACCCTAAAAATGTGCATCAGAATCTACTGGAGTCTTTCATCTTGTTCATGTCAATGTAGTTTTTATTTTTACATCACACTTTGAGGTGACTTGTCATGAAAGAGGGCGATGGGCAGCAATTACCTGGAGCAGTGCTCTCGTGTTATCCATGCTTTCAATCCAATCCCACGGTTCTACAGTGAAAAGTCAAGGGGCATCAAAGAGATGTGTAGATTGACAGGACTCAAGCCGAAGTGTGACTGCACTTTTGAAGGCCTTTGTATAAGCCCATTCATTTACGGCCTGATCCCAATCACATACACTCTGTTCTTGCAGTGGGATGCTCAGATTGTGGCTGGATAACCCCTCCTGTCATGAAGAGTGGAGCAGACCTAAAAGGCTTGATTTCCACCCCGCACTCCCATCTTGCACAGGCCAAGAGGGGAAGAAAGTTAGGGACGGAGTCTCTGGGGCCATCCAGTTCATCAGCCTGACCCTGATGATGCAGTAAGGTTCCACGCAGCTTGAAACATACGATGTGGATGGAAATGAAGGGAGCAGAGCTCAGAAAGGACAAGGGCTGTTAAGCTTTGTTGTGGTTCTGCTGTTGTTTAAAACAACACCCAAAGGAAATTAAATGCTAAAAACCTTAAGATAGCATTAGGTTTTTCACTCAAACCTTAGGGAACCAGCTAGGAAGCAACTCGGACTAAGTTTGCCAAAAGTTTCACTACGGTTCTGAAATCTTTCCACCAGCCTGGGTTCAGGTTATTGGACAGAAACCATACAACACAATCATTTCAGCTCAAAACCAAGCAAAACCTGGCAGTGTCTGCTCCATTTTGCCCTACGTTTTTGGCTTCCTGAACCCGCACCTCAGAGCACAAAACTCAGGGAGTCTGTGAATCGTCAATTGCCACATTTGTCCCCAAGTCTGGTTGTCCCTTTTAGAAGAGTAAATGAAGAAGTATTTCTCGGAAGTTTGTAAACACTTGTTCTGAGTGAGAAGCCAGGCTCAGTTCCATGGTGCAGTCAGTGTGATAGCACCATGGAGTAGCTAGGTTCAAAAGAAGCCCTCAAGGAGGAAGTCAGAGAGATGGGTGAAGGTTGAATATTATGCAAGGACCCCTTTTATCTGGTAAGCAGTATTTTTCCTCAAGCTTCCTACCAGAGAAGGTGTACAGGGGGTGGCTGTCTGCTTGAAGATGGGAAGGCTTGTGAGGAAGTGTTGTTCACAAGCCAACAGGGTCCAGGGGTCTTATGATCTCAGCTGGAATGGCTCCAGTGTCTGCCTAATACGAGAAAATCCACACTGGAGACAGTGGGTGTCTCTGGAAAAAACACTTACATGGGAAAATCCTGCCCTGAGATGTGGGTTTTGTGCCCCATTTCACATGTGATTTGGCTCTCAAATCCTCTCATTTTACAAACCTGGGAAACCATCTCTATAGTGACAGGGAAGGGTAAAGTTTGCTGGGCCGGTTGGTTGCATCGCGACTAAGATGCTGTGCTCCTGTGTGTTTGGACTGACCCTAAGAGGCCGTTATCGTGTGTCTTTCAGAAGAGAATGCAGCAGATCATGTTGCAATGCTTCCTGGCTGTCAAATCCAAGCTGGAATGTAAACTGGGCTACTTTGATCTCATTGGCTGTGATTTCTTGATTGACGAAGACTTTAAGGTATTTAGCAAAATCTTGTTCCCTTCATGCATGCAGCCGCTTCTGAGGAGGAAGAAGCCAAATGTTTAACAGCGCAGAGCAGCCCTTCCATAAGAGTTTAGGGTGGGAAGTGAATACTTTATCCAGTTAAAACTGTGATTGGAATTTGGGCAGGAATGTGGATTTAATAGCGAAAAATATCAAGGGATCTTTAGTGACCAGAAGCCCCCGGTCTCAATTTTACATCGCCTCTGAAAGATGGCGGGCCGGATACTCAGCTTGTATAAGTCAATGCATCTGCCTTGACTTCAAAGGAACTATCCTGATTTACACCAGCTGAGTATCTAGCATCGAAACTCCAACAACACAGAGACCCTTTCAAGGCTATGCTGGGGCACTGGCTCGTTACTGATCATCAAATTACCAGCAGAACTTTCTAGATGTTCCTTGTAGGTTTTTCATCCATGTACTGATCCATCCCAATCCAACTTAGCTTGTGAGAACTGATAGAATCACAGAATAAAACGGTAAATTGGGAAGTACAGACAGAGAAAGAAAGCTAGAAGAGAGGGGAAGGACTGGCTACAACCATCACGTTGCCTCAAAGCATCAAAGTCCTATAGAACCACCTGGCCTGGACACAACAGAAAGCTATCTGGTTTACTTTGCTTTTGTAGACCTGTTGCTAATGTAGAAGCTAACTCAAACATATTCCAGCAAACCCTACTACAGAATGGCAGTCATGTATGCAGCACAGGGCATGGTGCCCACACAATAGTGTCCTTTGTGCAGGAAATCTATGGCAAGAGAGAGTTAATGGCAAAGACACAGAAACTGGCACGTCTCAAATTTCAGTGACAACTGTCTTTTTGCAATGTTGGCATGCAAAGCCCTGGCTGTGTAAACCTGATATAGAAAGGGAGATCCAATGTCACTCTAGTCTGGCAATCCCTCTGTGGTTAATTAAAAGTGTTAGCTCCACTTCAGTGAAAACATGGCCCCTGGAGACTATTACGTCTCTATGTATTTTGTATATGGACGGATAAACAGATCGGTTACTTTAGAATGGTTTGATCTATAACCGTGGTGGGGATTTCAGTGCTGAGAAACTGGAGACCCAGCAGTGCTGAGCAGGTTTGGAAGTCTGTTAAAATGGGGAAAGGGAGTAAAGCAGGACTATATGTCTGTATTTGTGTATTGCAGGCTATTCCTTGTTCTCTTGTCCTGTAGGGAGACAATGAACCTGATTCTCTGTTCATGTACACCACTGTCAATTAGAAAAAACTTCACTGAAGTCAGTGGAGATACCTCAGGGTAGAACTGGTAGAAGAGAGAGGAGACTCAGGACCAGTGCCTTTAACCCAGTGTTAATGGTCTGTTGAAGTTTGTACGAATACCATGGTTGCTGGGGTGATTGGGTAGTTCCTGGCTGGGCTTCCTGTTGTGTAGGGATCTGCACCCATAAGACACAATGGGCCTGGTTCTCCTCTTCGCCATACACCAGAGACTTCAGTGGCATCTGATTCACATCAGAGTAAATGAGGTGCCTGAATGTGCGGTGTTCTGCCCCAGAGCAGGGCTCCCCTTCTAAAGGGGCAAGGCTGTGATGTTCAAGTTTCTCATGTTCCAAGGGCCCACATGCATTGGAGTGGCTGTAAAAGGGGGTGGAGGGACAGGCTGGATGGCTGACGGGCTTGATAGTGGCAGGCATCACCTTGGAGTTCTGTTATGTCTTCAGCTCCAGTCCAGGATGAAAGGGATTGAAAGGTGTTGCCATCTGATGGATTTCCAATGGCCTAGATGATACAAACCGGGGTGTGTGTGTCTTTAGGACAGTGCAGCGTGTCCCCTTGGTTGTCAGTCTAAGCTGGGAAGCCAAGGGCTAACCGGGTCGCACGGATGGAGCTGTTCCCTCACACCAGGAACTCCCTCCGGAATGAGGAATGTAGGTGGGACAGGGGGAAGCTTGCATCAACGATGCTTGTGCTGAAGTGTGCTATAGATACGGGTGGTCTCCCCCAGAGCCGAGCATCCAGCACCAAACTCACATACACACAGTTAAAGGAGTGAATTGACGGGAGGGAAAGTGCTGGTAGAAAGGGCTAATATTAGCTTTCTCCCATCTATGTCCTTCCTTCCTCCTTGTTCCAAATGCCTAGACACCCCTGAATCAGTCCCCAGTAGGGCTCCACGGTCCAGCATTTGGCTGGCGCAGTCTTTGAAAGGCATTTCTGTCCCAGAGCATGGTCTGCAGCACATTGGTTGCAGCGTGCATGCAAACAGGGCCCATGGAAAGGACCCACAACCCCTCTGCAGCACCGACCACTCTTGTCTCAGCCGCAAGGAGGAGGGCATGGGGGCGCAGTGCTTGTTTAGCACAGCTGTTCTGCCTCCTCAAGTAGTTTTGCCAAGACCCAGGGCTTAGGGGGGGTTCATTTAAATGGTCTCCAGTCAGGGAAGCAGTTGACAGGAAGGATTGCATCAGCCAGGCAGAAGGGCTGCTCTCCTCAAGGGCCGCTGGGAGGACAGGCGTGTGGCTCTTTTAGTAGCAATAAAGGGATTCAGCCAGCCAGCCACGGGAGAGCAGACTCCAGCTTCGCCTGCCAATTTGTGAAAGCCGAACACATTGGGGATAAAGGGCCAAAATCACCCCTGCGGTGAGCAGGTGCAGTTCCATTCATTTCAATGGTACTGCTGCCCACTCGCTCCTGGGATCGTTGGGTCCTTGGAGTGGTGCTCCAGAGAGATAGATGGTTCCAGGCCAATTTCAGGAGCTCAGGATAAAACCTGCTTTACAGCTTCCGTCTTCAGGGGTGGGGGGAATCTGCCAGCTAACTTTGTGACCTTTGGCAGCACTAATTGGTTCCCTTGTGGGGAGTTCAGCAGAGACTGAAGGCCCCTCTCAATACTCCAGTGCACTCAGGATTTCAGCCTCATCCACAGTGTAACATGAGACCAGGCCTCTTTAGTATTATTATTAATCAGCTGCAGTGCGGTGATTGTGCATCAGGACCCCATCACGGCGAGGTGCTGTACAAACATGGACCAAAAAGATAGTCCCTGCCCCCCAGAGCTCTGGGCTTGGGACCGGACTCAGAACCAGCCCTGCAAAGCTGCTTCTGAACTGGGGATTCACATGCAAAATAAGCACAAATCTCTGCCCCCCCCAGGACCGCAAAGGGATGAAGGAGTTTGTGTCTGAGGTTGCAGCTGTAGCCGGTATCTTCTTAATTAGTTATGGAGGCTAAATCTTTTAAATGTTACTTTCCTGGCAAGAACGCACGCTCCAAGGTAACCCACACAGATCACTCTGTGTGTGTTTGTGTGTATAAGCACATGCATTCCCCCACCCCACACGGTGTATGCATTGATGGGACCATGTTTACTCCACAACTAGTTTCAAAGGCAACACAAGAGATAACACAGAGCAAGCTCAGGGGGGCGCCAAGAGCAGCAGAATAACCACTACCCCTTGTAGCTTTTGTAAGCGCTGCCTTTCCTTGACAAAGCCACTGGCTAAAAGACGCAACATGGCAGGAGTTTTACGTGCCACGGGAAAACTAAACTGCCTGAGGGAGCGTAAATGGCATCACCCAACAGGTATGCCCTGCAGAGACTAGAGAACAGGACTGGAGGAAAAACAGTATGGAAGCACAAATTCCCTTGTTTATGTCCAGAGAGTAAAAAGATAATTTGGTTATTTTATTTTTAAGCATTACCTTTGTTTGGTGTTGGGATTTTGCTTCTTCTGCAGTTCATAGGATTAAATAGCTCTTTAGATCTTCAAGGCACTGTATCAACATTAACTAATTCATCTTCACAACACCCTTCCTAGGCTGGTAAGTTGCAGTGTTCCTATTTTGTACATAAGGAAACAGACACAGAAGTCAGAAAGTTAAACTAACAAACACCCCCTTCCCACCCACCACCCATCCAGGCACCAAAACAAATACCCAGATTTTCAAACAAGCTGAGCACCGGGGGTGCTAGGCCCGTTTGAAAATCTCAGTGGAGGTGGGGCCTGTTGGGGGCCGAGTGCATCTGAACATCTGACCCTTATTTAGGTGGCTAAATGCAAGCTGAGCTTTTTTGAAAATCTGTCCCCGAGAGGCCAAGGGTGTGTAGGCCCCTGACAATGCAGCTAGGCGTCTAATGGGATTCTCAAGAGCACCTAGCGCTAGCTCACATCGATTTCAATGGGAATTAGGCGCCTACGTTGCTTAGGTGCATTTGAAAAGCCCACTAGGCACCTATTTACATCTTTAGGCCCCTAAAAATCCCTTTGCAAAACTGGCCCTAAATGAGTTGTCCAGAACCACAAAGAAAACCAGTTTCAGAGAGAGGCAGAACTCAGAAACTCATGGATTCTGGCCAAGCACTCAGACCCCACCTGGCTTTTCTTATGAACAAGCTAAGTTGAGGCACCATTAGAACAAAACAAAAGGGAATAATGCAGCTTTCGCTCCAGTTCTATACATCTCAAAGGTCTTAAAGCTATGGGACAAATAACGGAGGCCTGGTTTGGATCTCACTGGCGCTGGCGAAGAGCAGGAGTATTTCCACTGAAGTCAGTAGAGTGTGACACCTGGTGTGCGTGAGAACAAACCCATGTATATCATAGGTTGCGAACAGGTGCATCAAATGCAGCCGTAATTACATGCCCAGCAATAAATTCCATGTGGGCTTGAATATTAGAGTCCACTGGGAGATGGGACACCAGCACTATCCCCTATTATTTTCAGAGACCCCCAAATAAATCTTTACTTTCCACTTGGCCAGCTGCTACAATTAAGCAGTGCACAAAGGACCACACAGTTTATGGGACATCACTTCGCAAGGTCATAATTCTTAGGGAAAAGAATCAAACTCTCACCCAAACTTGCATTTCTTCTGAGCCCCAAAGCTCAGACCCCTGAAGCAGTAGGAGTTGTGGGTGCAGAAGGAACACAGACTCGGGTCCTTTGGTAGCTGTTATCTGCAAAGTAACACGGAACAAATTCTAGCCACAGGCGCTCAGAGGCTACAATGATGAGAGCTGTATATGAACCCGAACAGAACAGAAAAAAGATTAAGTAGCTGATAATAAAAGGTCATTTGTCAAATGCTGACTGTATCTAGTGCCATTTAAAGAACGAATGAAGGCATGGGCCCAGCCTTGAGGAGCTTGCAGTTTATCAGCCACCTTTCATAGGTTAAAAAGCCAGGAGAGGAGGGATGGTCCAGTGGTTATGGACTCAGGAGCCCAGGGTTCAATTCACTGATCTGTAGAGGTTTGGTTTCCTGCCTGACCTTGGGCAAGTCACTTTGTCTCTCTGTCCATCTGCAAAGTGGGAATAAAAGTACGTCCCTACATCACAGGGTTGTTGTGAGGATGAATACATTGAAAACATATGAGAGACTCAGAAGCTATACCAGTGGTTCTCAACTTATTTTCCATTGTGGGTCATACAGGCAGCTCTCTCTGTGTTAGGTGGGCCGCATCCACACAATATATATACTGCCTGTATGGCCCTGAGGATGTCACATGGGCCGCAGCTGTGTGCTGATTGGGCCACAAGCAGCCCACAGGTTGAGAACCACTGAGCTATACTGATGCGGGCCATATAAGATAGGTAGCATGGACAGCTTTGCTCCTTCTGTTTGTCTGTTTCACTTGAAAGCATGAAAGGGAAACAAGAAACTAATCCAGACATTTCATAGAATGATAGACTATCGGGGTTGGAAGGGACCTCAGAAGGTCATCTAGTCCAACCCCCTGCTCAAAGCAGGACCAATCCCCAATTTTTGCCCCATCCCTAAATGGCCCCCTCCAGGATTGAACTCACAACCCTGGGTTTAGCAGGCCAGTGCTCAAACCACTGAGCTATCCCTCCCCCCCTGTAAAGGTTCATCTGTCAGTACAAAATCTTATGATCTTGTATTTGGGGGGCGCTGAGCAAAGTTTTCAAAGATGGGAAAAAATATTTGCCAGAAGCTATCAATGGAGTTTCAGTGCCCTCTTGTGGTACCGGTAAAACATTTCCATTTCAATGAGAGCTGGCTTTGCTTTCGTTTCTACTCTTCTGAAGGAGACAATCCACATTTCAAAGCCCCTTTTGTGTCTTTTCATTTTCCAGAACAAACTGAGAATTCAGAGTTTTATTTTTCCTCTCAGTAAAAGAGGGGGAGAGGTGAATGTAAAATTATGGCATCAACCCTGCCTAATTCAAGTGATTTATTTCTAGGGGAAGGCAGGAACACTTATTGAGGAAGACACACTGGCTGCTTCTAATGATGGGCTCTTTCTCCACAGCATTTCAACAACAGAGCACTAGTCAGTCCTAGGAAAACGACGTGCGTAAGCACCCTTTTCTGCCTCCCCGCAAATGGCTGAATGCTCTGAATCTCCCGGCAAGTTCTCAGCATGAGTTGGAGAACCTGTGCTGGAAGCAGAGGCTGAATAGAGGGGTTTAGCTCACTGGGCTTTACATTTGTTGGGGTTTTAATAGAACCGTGCACAACTCAGTTGCTTTGTTTTGTAAAGATTTGTGTGAGCGTTTGCTCTGGTTTCACCACTGCTGTGTCTTACTTGCACCCTTGGCTTTGAAAGAGCCTGACAAGTCAAAGGAAACTAAGCTGAATTTAACCCAGACATGCAAAGTCAATGTTTCACGTGGTTTTCAGCTGAAACCGAAACTTGGCCCTAGTCTTGCTCAGAACTCAAGCCCTGGAATCAAGGCCCTGGGTCCATTTGAAACCAACCCCTCACTGGGCTTAAACTTGATCTCAGGCTCACTTGAAATCAGGCTTGTCAAAGCTTCACCCCTAACTACCCCACACAACTTTGCCACAGGTTCATTCCAAACTCATTTGACAGATGTTATGGAAGCACTATATAAAAAAGACCCAGGTATAGATACTCATGTATATGTAGATAGTTAATATAAAGAGTACAAAATAATATGTAGGGTTTCACTAACTTAGTAAGCTCAGTAAAGCTGGTGTAGATAAGCCCTGCAAATGGCTACCTCTTAAATCTTATGACAGATTCATGAATTTCAGCAAACCTCACAAGTATCTGTTTTTTAATGAAACCACAAGCTTGGTGAACCGTCACCTGACTGCAGGTCTCGTTATGAAAGTTTTGCACAGCGCTAGTCAGATCACAGTTAGACCGGAGACCTGGTTAGCCCCTTGCTTATGTTTTGGAATGTGTTGACTTGAATTCATGCCGCCTATTCTCACGCTCATGAATCAGCATCAGCGCAAACTGTGGGGGAATAAATGTAGCTTTCAGGCTCTTGTCTATGCTCATCTCTTTTTAGGTCTGGCTCCTGGAGATGAACGCAAACCCTGCGTTGCACACCAACTGTGCAGTGCTGCAGGACATCATCCCCACTGTGGTCAATGGGACTCTGGGTAAGTAAAGAGCCCTGCAATCCAGGCCTAAGCTTCCCCAATGCTCTCCATGAGACATGTCCACCTGGAGCAAAGGCACAACAACATGGCTTTGGGCATTATACAGAATAGGAGTCAAGTCAGGGTCTCTTTGCATAAGGGTTTTCATGGATCTCAAACTCTGGATGGGGTCTAATGCCCATTGCAATCAATGGACAGACCTGCTGGCAAAACTGGTGTGGGCCCCTTTGTGCACAAAGGCTGGGACTCTCAAAAGCACTTATGGGACTTAGTCCTATTGACTTTCAGTGGGACTTGTGCTTTTGAAAATCCTACCCTAACCGAGACTGCTTAGGAATATTGCTGTTTGTAGCCACCTGCTCATTCAGGGCAGAACATGTTTCTGAAGATGTTTTCGCTTACTTTTATGTAAAATGTGTGGGCTACGTTTTTATAAACAGTCCTTCAAATTGTACCCGTACGTTCCTGCAAGTGCAGCTTTCACATGCATTCTTTTGCAGGCACAGGAATTAGCAACATGCATGCACAGTCTATCCGACTTGGGCATTTATATGGCTCCCATTAGCATTGTATCTTTAATGTATTTATCCTCACAGCAGCCCTGTCAGGTAGGGCAATGCTATTGTCCCCCTTTCACAGATGGGGGACTGAGGCACAGAGGAACTTGTGAGTTGCACAAGAGGTTTGTGACAGAGCAGGAATTAAAGCTGAGTCTCCCACAGCCCGCGCTAGCATTCTAGCCACTGCACCACCCTTCTGTTCTCAGCGTACATTTATGCATGCTGAGCGAACACTTTGCTGCCTGTGTGAGCTATTTGCACACACACACACACGTGCAATTTGCACATGACAAATCAACTTTATACAGACAGCATTATAGATGTTTTCTGCAGTCTGGTGTGTAACATGGGAAGTGCGTGTGTTTGTGCAAGATGGGTTAGTAGTGTCCTGACTGTGCTTCCTTTCATAGATATGACTGTTGTGTGTAGTGGGTGTTATGCTGGGGTAGTTAGTCATGTCCTGACTGTGTGTCCTTTGGGTGACTTAGCTGTGTTTTGTGTGGTGTGCAGTGTAGTTTGGGATGCATGTGCGTGTGTAGAGGTGTTTAGCCATGTTATGATTATGTCTTCTCTCTGTGTGCGTGTGTAGAGGTGTTTAGCCATGTTATGATTATGTCTTCTCTCTGTGTGCGTGTGTAGAGGTGTTTAGCCATGTTATGATTATGTCTTCTCTCTGTGTGCGTGTGTAGAGGTGTTTAGCCATGTCATGACTATGTTTTCTCTGTGTGCGTGTGTAGAGGTGTTTAGCCATGTCATGACTATGTCTTCTCTCTGTGTGCGTGTGTAGAGGTGTTTAGCCATGTCATGACTATGTCTTCTCTCTGTGTGCGTGTGTAGAGGTGTTTAGCCATGTTATGATTATGTCTTCTCTCTGTGTGCGTGTGTAGAGGTGTTTAGCCATGTCATGACTATGTCTTCTCTCTGTGTGCGTGTGTAGAGGTGTTTAGCCATGTCATGACTATGTCTTCTCTCTGTGTGAGTGTGTAGAGGTGTTTAGCCATGTCATGACTATGTCTTCTCTCTGTGTGAGTGTGTAGAGGTGTTTAGCCATGTCATGACTATGTCTTCTCTCTGTGTGCGTGTGTAGAGGTGTTTAGCCATGTCATGACTATGTCTTCTCTCTGTGTGCGTGTGTAGAGGTGTTTAGCCATGTCATGACTATGTCTTCTCTCTGTGTGCGTGTGTAGAGGTGTTTAGCCATGTCATGACTATGTCTTCTCTCTGTGTGCGTGTGTAGGGTGTTTGCATGTCTGACTTGTCTTCTCTGTGTGCGTGTGTGGGTGTTTAGCTGTCTGACTTGTCTTCTCTCGTGTGCGTGTGAGGGTGTTTAGCATGTCATGATGTCTTCTCTCGTGTGCGTGTGTGGGTGTTTGCGTCTGACTGTCTTCTCTGTGTGCGTGTGTAGAGGTGTTTAGCCATGTCATGACTATGTTTTCTGTCACAGATTTGGCTCTTGAGATTTTCAACAAGAGTTTGAAAGGCCAGAGGATTTTGCCTTTGCAGACACAGTGTCATTTTGTGCTGCTCCATAATGGGGGTACATCTGAAGCTGGACTGAGACCCTCAAAGACCAGGAACGCCCTGGGTATCTCTAGGAACCAAAGGTCACTGACGGAAAGCACCAGCCACCTCGCTCGGCATCCTCCCAAAGCATCAGAGAAGCCTCCAAAGAAACCAAGTGGTCCTGGAGAAAACACCATCTCCACTCCTCAGAAGGTTTCCCAGAAAACTGTCTTAAATATGCCCCAGGTGCAGAACACTGATATACGCAGCGCCTACGCCTGCCATCCTTTCAAACCCACAGTCCAAAGCGGCCAGGTGAGCAGTGCTTGCAGCCAGTACATTATCAAGCCTGTGGTAGTCTCAGAGGAAGGTAGCCTGGCAAAGCTCAGCACAGACGATGGCTCAGAGAAGGACATGGCCAGCACTATTGTTCCCACAGCTGCTGCTTCAAAAGAGACCGCCTATGGCATGTGGTTACAGCAGACCTTTGGGATTAAATCTCCCACATCCCCTAAAGAAGACCTGGCCTTCACCAGCTCCCAGATGGTCTTTCTGCACCTCCACTCCAAGGTCTCAGGTGGCCTGCCTTGCTGGGAAGGCCACTCCAAGTCACTCTACCAACCCCCGATCCACCCCACAGCCCAGGAAACACCATTGATCAATGACAGCAAAGCAGCTGCTGCATCCCAGTGCACCGAGCCACCTCCAGATGATCAGAAAAAGGTGTCCCATCGCGGGTCTTAGACTGAGATCACTGTGTGTTGAATACATGATGCTTTCCCATGAGGAACATAAAAAAAAAACACATTCTATGTATCTGTGACGTATCTAAGCATTTTTTGGAAACGGTCACTGACTTTTAAAAGCTATTTTGTTATTTTAGAAGAAAGAGAGAGATGATTGTGCAATACACTGGCTACTGACCACCAATGTAACACCCCCCCGCCACCATCAATCCAGTTCACTCCCCTCCTCCTGCACACAGCTGTCAATTTAGAAAGACCATTGCACTTTGTTTTTTGTTTTTTTAAATCATAGCCTTATCCTGTAAATCTATGGAATGAGACTGAAACCACAGAGTGTGATGTCCTCTTCCAGAGTGTTTCTTTTAATGGCAGCTGAGCAGACTCAGTTATACCCACGTATGCCATTGTGTGTCCTGTGCAATTATGTATGTAATGTGCACTCCTAATCATGTCTTATTCTAGATATATGCGCACGTGTTATTGTTTATGCACCATGCACTCATGTGCTAGGGATCTATTATTCACAATTCTATTCGCATGATCGTATAGAGCCATCGGTCTCAACCTATTTACCATTGTGGGCTGCAGATGCAGCACTCTGTGTTTAGTCAAGCCACATCGACACAATATCTATACTACCTGCATGGCCCTGAGGATGTCACATGGGCCGCAGCTATGTGCTGTTTGGGCCGCAAGTGGCCCACAGGCTGCGGGTTGAGAACCACTGGTATAGAGGTCTGGTGTCCCTAGCCTCTGTTTGCCAGCTGGGCATGGGCAACAGGGGATGGATCACTTGGTGATTCCCTGTTCTGTTCATTCCCTCTGGGCCACCTTGCATTGGCCACTGTCAGGAGACAGGATACTGGGCTAGATGGACCATTGGTCTGACCCAGTCTGGCCTTTCTTATGTTCTTCTGTCAGTTAAACGAGTGAGATTTCCCAGCCCTCTCTTGCATGGTCTGCGGAGAGATGGTCAATGGCATAATACTTTCTGTAGTGGTACACGCCACTTCCGCCTGGGATGAATCATTCCCTCTATCTTGCTGCACTTTGTTCAGCCTCTCCCCCAGCTACAAGGAGCCACCCTCTTCTCTGGACACCACACAGTGGCAGGGAACGAGGCACAGGTCCTCCAGCTCTGACCACTCAGAGGTGTGGTCTTTTCCAAGCCACTTTTTGCTCTGCAGAAGGGTCAGCGGGAGGTCCCCACGCAACAAACTAGTTCCAAGTGAGTCACCTCCATGATGCTTGGAACCATAGCAGCTCGAAGGCAGGACTTCCGAACAGCATTCCTGTTTGCATTGAAACATGAGCGGGCTAGTGTGTAAAATCCTGCCTGTATGCATTTAATAATCCTACTTAAATAGCATCGTATGAACCTGAACAGAGCCGCACAACGCCCCTTCCCCCACATACGTGCTTCGCGTGCAGTAAGCCCCCATTTTATAGAGATGTGATGCCTCCCTATCACCGTGTAAAAAACACCTTCACCACCCCACCCGCATAGCCCTGGCCAGAGCAGGAATCGTTCCAAATGATGTGCGAGGCTGGAGGGCAAAGGAGACCTAATGTCCCAGGTTGTTCCTGATCATCTCATCCTACCATAGCGTGTCATTCAGGGCTCGTGAGCCTCCTCTTCCCTGGCTCTCAGCACTCAATAATTTCCCTTCCAGGGCACATCCCCGGATCTGTGTGAGCATAAAGTGATCCCATTACCAGACCCTGCACTTTCCCAACCGCCATGTGTGGCTCCCTCCAATCCCAGCACATCCCCAGTAAATCACAGGTAAGCCCCTCGTGTCATCGGCAGAGGGCACAGGACCCACCCTTTGTGTTCTCCTCTCCGAGCTGGTGGCAGTGAGTCTTGCAAGGTGCTCACGCAGAGGGAGGGAATTTCCTTGGCTTCTCCCGCCCCATACAAACCAACCACTGTTTGCAGCCCTCATTCTTTTCTGAGCATGGTGAAGCCAGACGCGGAAAGCCAGTGCTCTGCTAGCTCCAGCTGAGCTGAGGCAGCCGTCTGTCTTTAGAACCATCAGACATCTCAGAGGTTGCGGCATGAGCTTCCCTGGCTATTCCAGAGCCAGCCTGCCTCTCCAGCGGTGCTTAAATCACTAGTATGGACAAGGTGCCAGCAGTGACCTTCTTGCCTGGGCCTGCTCTGAGCCACTGTGGTTAAAACACCCACAGCTGGTCTACAGTACCGGACCCACTGGTGGACCTAAAGAAAGGCTCGTACGGCCCCCCTGAGTAGCAAGGGCCTTGCAGTGGGGGCCAGGGCTAATGCAAACATTCATTTCCCCTGGACCAAGGATTTTTTTTCTGCTGATAACTGGCCTGGCCCAAATCAAATATCTTGAGCTAAATTCCTCTCTGGTGTGTTTCCATAGAACTCAATGGAGTTACATCATGGAGGAATGTGTCACTTTGGTTGCTGATGGTTTTATTGCTTGAAAATCCCTGATGGGTTATGGCCACAGATCACTTAAACTGGGGGATAGAGGTAGGCAAAACACCTAAAACTGGGGACCTGAGCTCCTTTGAATGTAGAGACTGAGGGCTATTGGATTTGGAGATCCCCATCCAAGGTTGGATCCTAAACCAGAAGCAACCTGCCTTCTGGTTCTGATTTGGATGAAGCCAAACTCTTGGAAGAAGAGGCTTTTCCCATGAGATTTTGGCCCAAGATGGCAGAAATCTTGCTAAAACCAACCAGCTCACATGGCTTCAGCTCATGAGATTTCACCTCCTTCAGTTCCCAACCTTCACCCCAGCCTTGATCTGGAACCAAACTCTCAGTTTTGCTGGCGGTGAGGGCTGAGTATAGACTGATCTTCCCCAGTGAATACCACTGGGCTAATTAATGCAAATCAGAGCAGTCCTGATTCCACATACTGCAGCAATGTCACTGTACACTGCAGGGTTCTTCAGTTTCTCTGGCATAAGGCTGTTATAAAGGGACTGTGTGCACCCTTGGCCCCCCAAGCGACGCTTGACGCTCCAGTCAGCCGCAGGGGAACATTTCTCATGCAGGAAGTGTTATGAAACTCAGCAGCGAGCACCGGGTGCTGTTTTCAGAGAGTGGGGAGGAGTCAGACATACAGTTTGCTGCTCTGTGGGATGGTGACACCACCTCAGAGCATCACTAGACAGCCCTCCACAGCTGCTTCCAGCCCTTTCAGTTCTGTTTGTGCCTGTGCATTAAAAAAAACCAAAACCACCCCCCATATGTGTTAACCCTTTCATGTCCATGAGATGCAGGACATGAGGTACATCTAACAAAGTAGATTACTGCTCCGGCTGCCAGTGAACCCTGACCAAAACCCAGCTCCTCTCCTAAGATCCCCCAAACTTTGGGGACATTCAGATCCAGGTCCAAATTTTACAGCTGACTCTCTGCCTCTAAAATGGGCCAAACCAAATCCCAGATCCTCGCACTCCTGAGCATTGAGGATGTTCAGATTTGGGTAAGAACTTCACAGCTCTGCTTAGAACCCTGCTTAGAACCCTGAGCCCAATGGCTCATCCTCAGTATCCCAAGAGGGAGGACAAGGATCAAGTCAGTTCAGTTCCCATCTCTACCTAGGGAGGTGGTGGAATCTCCATCCTTCGAGGTTATTAAGGCCCGGATTGACAAAGCCCTGGCTGGGATGATTTAGTTGGGGCTGGTCCTGCTTTGAGCAGGGGGTTGGACTAGATGACCTCCTGAGGTTTTGTCCAACCCAAATCTTCTATGATTCTCTCTCCTTTTCCCCCTTCCTTCAGCAGCTCCTCTTTCCCTTTCCTCTTCCTCTCCCTTCACTGTCTTGAAAGAGCCCCCTCTTGCATTGCCCACCTATCCCTCAGGATACGATAGGAGAGTCACTATCTGACTGGCCAGCATTCAAATAAAACCAAACCCTTCCTTGTATAGAATCCCAGAAATACAAAGAGGAAAAGGGCCAATATTCAGGCCCATCTTCCCCACCCACCCTGGCCCTGCACAGCCCCATTCTCAGTCCAGTTTCAAATAGTCTCCCACACTCCTCTAGGGAAACGCTTCCATACCAAGCCCTGTGGCAGAGCAATGTCCCATTCCCATCGTCTGCGCTGTCTACACAGACTGTTCAGAGCCCTTCCATGGCTAAGCACCCGCCCTAGAATTTACTTACGTGGCTCGTCCCACCACCTTACTCATCCATACATCAACTGTACCAGTTGCTCTTCAGCCCTTTGCTGAGGAGAGGAGAGGGAAGAGATCTCTCCACCCAGAGATCCATCTTGGTTCTGCCTCTGTTTGCCAGCACCTCCTTCCCATGCCTTCTTCTACCCTCCGCGCTAGTGGGCTAATTAGTTCTTTAGTCCTCCCCCAGCCCATTCTGATGCACTAATTAGGCATAGTCAGGGCCACCTGGGCGGGCGGGTGGTGGTCGGGGAATAATTGGTGTTTACGTGAGCAGTTGGCTCAGTTGTTGGTTCCTAGCACCCTGCCACAGCCTCGCTAGTTGGAAATTGTCCCCAGATCCTCCCTTTCATCACGTGATTCCTAGTTGTACCCCCAGGCTTGCCACGCTGCTGGGGCTGCTGCGCTCGGCATCCTCCGGCTGTGTATTAAAGGTTGCTTTCATCCTTTATTTTGGTTGGGTTTTACAGTCAAACTGTCACATTTGCTTATCTCCCCCCTCAATTTCTTTAGCCGGAAGCTGTGACGCTGGGGGATGGGAGAGGAAAGGTTTTCAGACCAACAGGAAACACTTTTACATCTCAGATGCTGCTGCCTCTACCCCAAGCATATTCTTAATGAGTAAGTAAGCGGATGGGCACGGCCCTCTCTCCTCCCGCCATCTGCGCTGTCTCCTCATGCTTACGGACCGTTTGTTAGGGACAAGGTCGGCACGTCAGCCTGCGATTTCGGACTTGACCCCGGGGGCTGAAGCGGCTGAGGGCAGGTGGCTGGCCTGGGGGAGCTGGTGAGAAGAGATGGGGTGCTGTAGCATGAGCGCCCGGCGAGCTGCGTCGGCAGGGGCATGCCAGGATGAGATGGAGCTGCTGGAAATAGGTGGCAGCAGGTAGGCAGCGTGTCTTTGAATCTGGGCGTTCGGAAGGGGCCAGGTGGCCTTGCTGGATACACAGAGGTTACCTTCCAGCTAGAGCCCGCTGGAATACTCCTAGCAATCAAGCAGTTAAAAGCTGAAATGCCCATGTCAGAACTGAGTCTCCTGCCTGAACATGACATTAACGGTCCTGTCCGTGTCACAACCTAGCGAAACCCCATAGGATAAGTGAATAAAGGAACCTCTCCTATTCATCTTCCGTTTCCCATCCCTTCCTCTCCCACGACAGAAAATGGTCCATTTCAGAACCTCAGAGTGAAGGCTCCCTCCATCTCAGGGACCCCGTGACCACGACAGAGACAGGAGGTGTGAGTATAAGCAGAATCTCACAAGCCAAGAGTCACACCTAGAGTCAGGTAGGAGAGTCCGGGCCTGTTTATTTCAAGGGGGCATGGTGTCATCATCACCACTTAGGCTTTTCCACTCCAGTAAGGTGCCTGACACCATTACATGGATAAGCCCTGAGCCCCAAACAGCGATGAACGGTTCTCACTATCTCAGGGTGTGGGGAGGACTTTTCCCCTCCAGTTTTACACAGTCATACGAATCCACACATTGTTTCTTATAGAACCTGAGGCTAGCTGAAGAGGAAGATTTTCAGGGGAGGATCAGAGAGCTGAATCCACAGGTGAGTCTAACGCCATTATGATTTGTGTCAGGGTAGCTCCTAGAGGCCACAGACAGGGTCAGATGCTGGGCGCTGTTCCCAGGAGCACCTCACAATGCTCTTCACCCCATTGTACACAGAGACATCTCACGGTAGATGAATGGCAGGTGCTGGGAGCTGAATCCAGGTCTCCTGAGTCTCAGTTCAATCCAAGACCATCCCTTCTGCTCTGAACCTTACATCCAAACACCTGAGCAACGTCAAAGAGTTTGCACCTAGATTCCATGGGTTCCACCTGAAGTTTCCATATGTGTTTCAGGATACTTCCCACCAGGCTAATAAAGAGATATTGTTTTTGCTTCCAGGCAGAAGTGTTGTGGGGGAGAACACAGGAGGAACTAAGGAACTTCCTATTCACACAGCCCATCACTGGCTGGGAAGGGAGGAGCATCCACTCTCTTGGGGAAATAGTATGGTCCTCGCTGGTTCTTATGCGCAGCTGTCACATGGAGGTAACCATCTCATCCTATCTGCACCTTCTGTCTCTTTAGCAAGGGATTTCCCAAATGCACAGGGGGAAGGGAGGGGAAAGCAATGTATTTTTAAATGGTAGGAGGAGAAAGACTGGGGTAATTTGGTCCTCGGGCCCACAACAGGATCTGCTATCATGTTATTGTGGAAAACAGATCCTGTCAAATTAACTTGATATCTTTTTTTTTTTTTGATAAGCTTACAAGTTTGGTTGATGAAAGTATTATGTTGATGTAATATACTTAGACTCCTGCAAGGCATTTGACCTTGTACTGCAAGACCTTGTGATTAAAAATCTAGAACCATATAAAATTAACATGGCCCACATTAAATGGATTAAAAACTGACTAACTGATAGATCTGAAAATGTAATTATAAATGGGGAATTGTCATTGTGCAGGTCTGTTTTTAGTGGGGACCCACAGGGCTAGGTTCTTGGCCCTACGCTATTTATCATTATTTATCAGTGACCTGGAATAAAACATAAAATTATCACTGATATAGTATGCAGATGACACAAAAATTGGGGAAGTGGTAAAAAATGAAGAGCACAGGTCACTGATTTAGAGTGATCCAGATCACATGGTAAAGTGGGGCCAGCAAATAATATGCATTTTAATATGGCTAAATATAAATATATATATCTGGAAACAAAGAATGTCGGCCATACTTACAGAATGGGGGACTCTATCCTGAGCAGCAGTGACTCTGAAAAAGATTTAGGTGTCATGGTGGATAGTCAACTGAACATGAACTTCCAATGCAATGCTGTGGCCAAAAGAGCTAATGGGATCCTGGGATGCCTAAGCAGGGGAATCTCAAGTAAGAGAAAAGAGGTTATTTCACCTCTATATTTGGCACTGGTGCGACTGTTGCTGGAATCCTGTGTCCCGTTTTGGTGACTACAATTCAAGAAGGATGATGATAAATAGGAGAGGGTTCAGAGAAGAGCCATGAGAATGAGTAAAGGACTAGAAAACTTGCCTTATAGTGACAAACTCAAAGAGCTCAATCTATTTATCTTAAAAAAGAGAAGGTTAAGGGGTGACTTGATGACAATCTATAAGTACCTACATGGGGAACAAATATTTAATCACGAGCTCTTCAATCTAGCAGACAAAGTTATAACACAATCCAATGTCTGGAAGTTGTAGCTAGACAAATTCTGACAGAAAATAAGGTACATTTTTAACAGCGAGGGTTATTAACCACTGGAATAATTTACCAATGGTCATGGTGGATTCTCCATCACTGACCATCTTTAAATCAAGATTGGATGTTTTTCTAAAGGATACACTCTGGGATTTATTTTGGGGAAGTTCTCTGTCCTGTTTCATACATGAGGTCAGACTACATGATCACCATAGTCCCTTCTGGTTTTGGAATCTATAAACCCTACTGCAGAATTGGAGCCATACTTTGCTAGGAGGGAATTTGGGACTGCTAGCGAAAGGTAAAAAATTCAGCTTTTTCCACCAAGGTCAGCTAAAGGTGGACAGATCTCATATAAGCTTCTTAGAACTGGTTGACATTTTTCATTCAAAATGTTGTGTTGATGACATTTTGTTTGTTTAAACGGAAATATCCATGTTCAAAGAATTTTGAGATGTTTTAATGAAAAATCAAAAAATATATATGTTTTTTATCTAGTTTTCTGGCACAAAAAAAAAAAAGACTTTGGATTTCATTGTTTCAGGAATAAAAAAACATTTCCAGACCAACTGTAGGGTTTCTCCCTTGTTATTGTCTCCAATAACATGACAAATAAATTGTCTCTCTGTAAGATCTGCATGGGATCACAACTGAATGAATTCCAGCTGAAAAAAGCCAGCCTGATATCTCAGGTCATGTCTACACGGGAGCTCTCAGGGAAGTTAAGGCGGACAGAGGCAGCTAAAAAGGGGAAAAATAATATCTAAACTCCTTGTCTCACAGCAGCGTTGTGCTTAATTCATTCGTGTTTGAGATCCTCAGAGGAAAGGTGCTATAGAATGGCAATGTATTCATAGGAGCAAGTTGCTTCACTTTTGGCTCACCCTGGGCCATCTGCTACATTACACAGCACAACTCATAGCTCCCTTCTACGGCCCTTAAACAATCTGACCTATTGGAACTGGGAGCACGTATAGATATATGAAATACTGCAGTGATGCAGAACGGGTAAAGCAAGGAGCTTGGGGAAATTTAATCTCGATCATATTTTATTTTAAATTTGTCTTAACATTTTAGGACAATGATGATAATAAAACCTTATTTCCACAGGAGATGTCTGAACAGTACATTGTGCTGTTCCCCTTCCAGCTGTTGATTCTATCAGTGGATCACATGAAGAAGATGTTTATCTACCAGGTAAAACACCGGGTTCCCTTTGTACAGTGTAGAGCCCCTGTTCGTTGGAGCACTGGGCTTCATCCATCAAGGCACCAAGCTATCCCTTTGCTGAACGTCTGTGGCACAAATACAGTAACTAAATATCAGAACAGGGGCTCAACTAGAAAACTCTCTAGCTACAAAAGGAGTGTCCCAATCTGTGGGACTTCAAAGCAGAGGAAATCAGAGGGAGTCCAGGACTGACCATCAGCAGGTCATGATGATGAGGGAACAGACAACAGAAGGGAGAGAAGGAATCACAGATGTATAGAATTATGAGTTACAGCAGCCAAATCAAAGAGTAGGGCATATTGCCCAAAGCTTGGGGTGTGCCAACCTGGCAGGGTGATGGGGGGGAGGCGCACAGTAGGCATATGAATTAGCATGGGGAGCCCTTTAACACCACATGGTAGTGTTGAATAATAGCAATACCCACTCTTCGAGTCACTTTCCATCCCTAGATCTCAAAGCAGAGCTAGAGTTCATCCACAGATCCTGTTCAAAGGACATCAGTATCATTATCTCCATTTTACAGATGGGGAAACTGAGGCACAGAGCAGAGCAATGACTTGCCCAAGGCCACCGGCAGAGCCAGAAATCGAACCCATGTCTCCTGAGTTCCAGTCCAGTGCTCTAGCAGCTAGGTGATGCTGCCTCCCTTGAAAGAGCTGGGCCCAAGTGGCATTTAATTTTTCTGAAGTAAGGGACCAGCTTTCAGGAGGCAGGGAAACACTGAATGTGGGGGAAGTAGAGTCTAGTGTTATGGGAGAGTGTGTGACTGAGAGAGGGCGGAGAGGAGGGAGTCACAATGATTGCTTTCTAACAGTAATTCCCCATTGCTGCAGGGCCTGCTTCCGCTCGCGGGGATGAGTGTGAGGGATGTGCCGAGTGACACTGGCTGCATGTTTGAAATGACTGGTAAGCCTTCTCTCTAGACGCCCGTGAAAGGCTTAAACAGATGGAAGATCCTCTTGTGATGACCAGGGAAAGAGGGCCCCTTGTTCCTCTGTGTTCATTCCAGGCACCACCTCATCCCTATTCCTGTGAACAGGGGAGCCCATGCTGACCATATGCAATGGGGCTAAGGCCCAGGCAGGGCTAGGGGCATTGAAATTCCCAGTCTTCACATGTAAATGCAGCAGCCACTGATTCTCAAGCCAGCAAAGCTTCACTGTTAACTGTGACCCTTGTGCTAAAGTCACCCTAAATGATAGATCCTCCTGAATCTGCTCCCTCAAAGTGCTGAGCCCACCTGTTAGAGGCCAGTGTCTTTTCAAGCTGAGCAGGACAATTGTCTAGTTCTGATGGGGACTAGCCCAGAACCCACCATCATGGACCACAAGACGGGGATGAGCTTGTCTCAGCATCCGGAATAGAACTGGTCCCAAAGGAGGTGTCTGCAAGGCTGGCTACCAGCTTGTGAAGTCTTGGGGTGTTGGGAGGAATTCACCCATCAGACTCGGAGGCAGTTCTGTCTTCTTCCTGGCATGCCAGAGCTGTGTGTTTCCTTCCATAGGGCCCATGATAGAATCCAGGATCATCTCATGCCTGAGTCCAGCTGAATTCCACATCTGGGTTCTCAGCATCCAGAGGCACATCAAGATGGCAAATGCTCACTGTCCAGCCCACCCCAGCAATATCATTCCTTTCCTGGTGAGGCTGCCCTGCTAGAGGTGGTGGGTAGAGCCCAGAGTAGATGCGGAGTGAATGGGATGGGGGCAAGAAATGTTAGTGGCTCCTGAGTGCGGAGAGACTGAAGTCCTCTGTGCACTCCCAGGTGGGGGTATGACACACCGAGGCCGGAAACAAAATACCAGAGCGATAGACCCCAGGCCCATCAGCTGCAGTGAGCCCTGCCACCCCAAGCGCAACCCTGTGCTATCTGAACTGACAATTAACAACCTGTTTTAGTGGCTGGGGGCAGACTCTAGAGGGAGATGTGACCCCTTCCTCCAAGCCAGTGTACACCCTGAGGACACCACACATCCATCATAGGCTGTGGAGAGCAAGTCTTGCTAAACACACTATGAACTTTCATACCACTGGCATTTAGTTTTTCTAACTGGCTGAGACACATTCAGCAGAACGACTGGTTTTCTGAGGCACAGAAGGGGGCTGTGACTGACTGACCACAGGGAAATAGTTAGTCAGCCCAGACATTCAACCTTCCCATTAGTTACTGTCCCAAAAAGGAAGATTTGGTCTGAAGTGTCTACTGGCCTGTACCATACAGAGCCTCATAAGACACAACACAATGCCATGAAGTGCTACCAGAGGACAGGCGTACACTGAAGTTGAGAAGAGTCATGCATTTGGATGCTACTGCGGGGTGACATATTTTAACGCAGTGAATATTCTTAAGGCTTTTCATCCAGTCCTCCCCTTCAAATTCTGTCTTCATGTTTCTAATTAGGAAAAGTTCAGGTAAGCCCAGACCAGCCTAGTCCCTCACTCCTCTCTCGAGCCTGATCACCTGAAGGTTCAAATAAGGGTCCTCTTCTTCCAAGCACCCACTTAGTGTGAGGATGTTTCAGGACCTGTTCAACCAGGCCCACAGGTTACCTCACAAACCCAAGGAAAGCCGACAAACCCACTGCTCACACCAAGTTCTTAGATCTTATTCCCCTTTTTAAGCAATAACAAACCTAGCAGTCCTATTACGGTGACAGGGACTTTCCTTATTTTCCCTAAACACCCCCAAAATACAACAACAGGATGTTCAGATCTTAATATTCTTTGCTAATCAATGATCCACTAGATATAGATTAGACCTTTATTGTGTGATATGGGGTAAGCCCACCTAACAAATGTGTAACTCCCTTACCAGCTCATCCCCCTTCCAGCAACCCAACCTGTCCATCACTAAGTCTCCCTTTCAGAGAAAGGCCCACTCCACACCAGTGCAGCAAGACCAAGGCACCACTTGATTGTCCCCACTGCTCCTATGTGCTAAAACGTAGCTGTGCAGTAGGGCTTACAGACTGCACGGGGGACTGAACAACCTGGAGTGTGTAAAATCTCAGGGATGGGGAAAGACTGGGCCAGGGTGGTTGGTTGGTGGGAAAGGTTTTGACTAAATCTTTTTCTCGAATCTCCCAACGAGGGAGGGGTGTTCAGGCTTATTCTTATGCCATTTAGAGACAGGCCTGCATCAGAACTCCAGGCCCAAAGCGCTTTGAATTTTTGGGAAAATTCTCATTTGGATCAGGCCCATTTCTATAACTGGCCCAAAACAGAACCTCACATCACACGAAATGTCCCCTCCCAAACCTGGGGGAAGTTTAGCTTCAGATGCAAATTTATCCATATGGACCCCATTCCTGTAGTATCTAAGCACTTCACAATCTGTAATATCTTTAGCCTCACAACATCCCCGTGAGGCAAAGCAGTGCTAATATCCCCGTTTCACAGATGGGAAACTGAGACACAGAGTGGCTGCGTGACTTGCCCAAGGTCACACAGGAAGTCTGGGGCAGAGAAGGGACTCGAGCTCAGCTCTCTTAAGTCCTATGCTAATGCCATAACAAGTGCAACATTCATCTAACACCTTCAAGCTGCTAACACTTCTATTTTTATTCCCTTCTGTGTTGCATTCTGATCTGTCTCGGAAAGGTTCCATGTGATGAGCAGTGGAAGAAAAGGAAGCTGATGAAGCATCTGGTTTACACCACCATTCTGAAGTGGGAAGGGAAACCCATCCAGCACCTAGGACGGATACACTACCTGGCCATGGTGCAGGTGGCTTATGCCAGCATGGGGGTAATGTACAGCATCTATTGCTCTAGAACATGTGGATCACCTTAGAAGGACTGGAAGCAACTGGAGCTTGGGTTCACATGGAGTCACTGGACTAAGATAGCCTGGGGTCCTAGCTAGATGAGTGCATATGGAAACTACAGCTGGTCAGGAATTTTTCAGCCTACCAGTTTTTCATCATAAAATGCCGATACCTCAAAACCAAAACTGTTTGAGAAACATACATTTCTGAAATGAGAAGTGTTGGGGGTTTTTGAGGCTAGATGACTTTTTCATTTCAAAATTTTAGTAAATTTAGAGTAAAAAAAAATTTAGAAGGGTGGAAATGTGAAAATTAAAATAAAACATTTCAAAATGGTCAAAACAAAATTAACCCAAACTGGAATTTTGTCACTGTTTGTTGGTTCACAAGAAATTTTGAGATTACAATGTTTCTTCCCAATTTAAAATGGCAGAACTTTTCTAAATCTCAAGAATTCTCATGGGCTGGGAAACCCTAAATGAATCATCAATGACTTTGGCTTGTGCAACATTATTCCATAAGCAATCTAAAGGAAAGCAAATGTCAGCCAAATAGGCTAGTGAAAAAGGATCCCACAGTACCAAAGAGACAAGCATAGATGATTTATGTATATGTAAAATATCCCTCGTAAGGTACCAAATACTGTGATGTAGTGTTAGGTGCATACCTACACAAACACACAGACACACTGCATTTATATGCAGCTATCTGTGACGGAGGAAATGACAACACAGATTCTAAACTGGTCAGTTTCATAAGCATTTAAATGCCTTGTTGTTAGGATTCCCTCCCCCCTCTGAACTCTAGGGTACAGATGTGGGGACCCAGATGAAAGACCCCCTAAGCTTATTTCTACCAGCTTAGGTTAAAACTTTCCCAAGGCACAAATTCTTTGCCCTTGGAGGGTACTCTGCCACCACCAAGTGATTTAACAAAGGATCAGGGAAAGGACCACTTGGAGTTCCTATTCTCTCAAAATATCCCCCCAAGCCCTTACACCCCCTTTCCTGGGGAGGCTTGAGAATAATATCCTAACCAATTGGTTACAAAGTGATCACAGACCCAAACCCCTGGGTCTTCGGACAATAGAGAAATCAGTCAGATTCTTAAAAGAAGGATTTTATTTTAAAAAAAGGTAAAAATCACCTCTGTAAAATCAGGATGGAAAATAACTTTACAGGGTAACAAAAGATTCAAAAACACAGCAGAACTTCCTCTAGGCTTAGTTTCAAAGTTACAAAAAACAGGAGTAAACCTCCCTCTGGCAAAGGAAAAATTCACAAGCAGAACAAAAGATAATCTAACACGCCTTGCCTGGCTTTTACTTACAATTTTTGTAATATGAGAGACTTTTAGGATGGTTTATAGGAGAAGGAGTTTTCTGACCTGATGCTTCTCTGCTTCCCAAGAGAACACACAAAACAGAGCCTCCCCCCTCCGCAAGATTTGAAAGTATCTTCTTTCCCCATTGGTCCTTTTGGTCAGGTGCCAACCAGGTTATTTGAGCTTCTTAACCCCTTACTGGTAAGGAGGAATTCTAGGCTACCCTTAGCTGTATGGATATGACACTTGTGTATTCTCTATCATATATACTGTAGAGGATGTTGTCATGTATTTCTGTCCCAGATATGGACTGGCTACAGAGCTTGCGGATACACACCAGATGTGTTCATCATAAAATCCTTTAATGCTCTGCCAGGTATGGCTAAGGCTAGCTTTAATAAGGTATTTTGCACACATCATGCCACCTAGTGGCTGAACAGTATAATCATAGAATATCAGGGTTAGAAGAGACCTCAGGAGGTCATCTAGTTCAACCCCCTGCTCAAAGCAGGACCAATCCCCAATTTTTGCCCCAAATCCTTAAATGGCCCCCTCAAAGATTGAACTCACAACCCTGGGTTTAGCAGGCCAATGCTCAAACCACTGAGCTATCCAGTGCAATAAATGCAGCCTACCATTCCATGACAGATGACCTGCCAATATTTTATATTTTGTAGCTATGGCAAACAAAAGGAAAATACCTGCTGTGAGGTGTGTGATTAGGATGAATGAATGCTTGAAAGTGACCCTGTGATTTAGGCCATGTCTACACTACGACATAAACTCATAGCGTAGACCAGGCCCAAGGGTCTCTCTCCACACCCATTTTACATCACTACACATTCTGCCTTCAAGCTAAGACTGCCCTATTAAGCACAAGTTAGTGACTTCACTGTCTCCAAGCTGTGCTACGTACCTCTCTCTGCAGGACTTTGAAGAGAGGCTGCTGGTACTGTTTCCAGAAGATCTGGTTTTCCTCTCCGTAGACAGAGAGAGAACCGGCATTGCGTATAAGGTAAATAATGAAGGGGGGGGGGGAGGATTGACTTTGGAAGAATTTTACTGAGCCTGTAGCGCATTGCTAAATGAGAGCTAAGAGGGGAATCCAAGAACCACCCTACAGGTGTTGGAAGCAGAGGGGTTGATTAGGGTGGCCCAGGGAGGAATAACGAGGAGTTATGGGATGAAGCTGAGCTAAGGAAAACTTGAAGTGAATATCAGGAAACATGTCCTAACAATGAGGGAATCTTCTCCCAGATGTGGAAACCACCATGCTTGGGATATTTAATACTAGACTGGGCAATCCTAGTCTGAGGAGATGCACGCGGTGACTTCACACGCCTTCTCGTTTCCCCCACCTCTTCTCTGACTCCAGGACTTGGCAATTCCTAGTAAGCCTCTGTTAGAATCCTTAAAAATCAGCGTGGTGGTGTATCAAATGGCCTCTGATCTCCATTTCTGCCCTAGCTCAGAGCTAACCCCCAGGAGGCAAAAGGTAACTTCAGCTCCTAAACTTCAAAGCAGTCGCCACATGGGTTGGCATCTGTACTGCTGAGTAACAGAAACGGAGCAGGACAAGGTAGGTGAGCCAATATCTTTTATTGGACCAACTTCTCACCCACCTCGTCTAATACCCTGGGACCGACACCGCAGCAACAGTGCTGCAGAAACAGAAGCAGTTGCTTTCCAAGGAGCTGCAATCATAAGAACATTGCTGCAGCTTCTGCTCTGGATGCAACAAAAATAACAAGAAGAAACCACAGGCCAGGGCTGGGTCCTAAATATCCATATTTGCTAAATGGACACAAACATGCGAAGCCTAGCTAGATATAGCCTGCCGCTCCTACTGGATACTAGCAGCTTCTCTAACATAGTACACCATGAACATCGTTAGAGGGCTCATGTAGAGGGATGCTACCCTGTGCCTATACGCTGCCGGCATTTCCTCTTTCCTTATCTCTTTGAAGGGAAAACTCCCACTCGCTGGGATCCAGGCAAAGGAGAAATCTGCTGTCCTGGGGAGACTGGAATTTGAAATCACAGGTACGCCAGGGATTGACGATCGTGGTGAGGGGTGTGAGAACTGATTGTGCCGTGAGGATTTTTGCATTGCCATGGAGTCAGCTGTCCCGTCCGTAACTGTTTAGTCCAGGCCTGTAGTAAGGTGGCCCCAGGTGAGGACACTAGGCTGGACAGGCTGTTTAGCTAATGGGGCTACAGGCTCCGTCTGGGTCCAGCAGCCTCACTGAAGAATCCTCTTCCTAGTCATTAGCTGAGCCTTGCCTCTTCTCTACTACAAGAGACTCTAGCTACATAAAATTAGCCTCCTTTCCCGTCCACACCCCTCGGCTCAGGCTTCACCCAACCCAGGCCGGAGCACTCCCCCACCCCAATGCACTTCCCTTGCTGCTGGCTATCAGGCTTTTATGGTCTTCTGTGTTCCCTGATTGGCCCATCTGCTCTGGCCCTGCCTCATTACTCCACCCTGTACACCTGTGAGAGGTCTGAGCAGGTTGGTGGGGGGGGTTAACTCTTTGCCTGCTGACACACAGCTAGAATACCTGTGCCCTCTCCCAGTGTATGCTGATAACACATGGGCCAAGAAGAAGGACACGTGGACTATTCCTGCACCAAAACGTTCCCACATGCCTCACTGTTCTCTTGGCAGGAAGCCTGATGGAACCGATCCTGGTCGCCTGCTCCACCGCTGAAGATTACGAAAAATGCCTCTTCTACCTACAAAAGGTCCTCGTCAGACATGACCCCCATACACCTTCTTTGCTCTGTGGCCGGTGTGGCTGCTGCTTTTCAAACCTGGGACTTTCCCAACCTTATGCACAACTGCTTATCTGCCTCCTACTCCTTCTTCTCTCCCCACCCCCAATAAGGGTCCTCCATGATTCAAAACCAGTTAGCACTCAGAGTGACCATTCAGTTCCCTTGGAACTCATCCTCCCACCTAAAGGGTTCATCATGGGGGACCTCAATACTTTTTCCTAATCAGAATGTAAGTGTGTATCACATATAATGATCCTGGGGGTTTGAACTCCCCACCTCCCCTGCAGAAAGCATAAGCCGCTACAGCTTGACCTAAAGGGCAGAGACCGCTAGTTAGTCACTGTTTGTAGAGTCATATGCTCTGTGGATCATGCACAAAGGGAGACACATGGCACATACTGAACATTCGGCTGCCTCTGCACCATACTTGGGGTTCACAAAAGGGTGATGGTGAACTGGGCTGCAAGATTTTAACAGTAGAAAAGCTCTAAGCCCCTTGAGAACTTGGACTGAGACAGGCTGCACCTTTTCTGAATGCTTAAAATCTTAAAAGCGCTTAAAGTCTTTCCAGCAGCATTGCTGTGTTAGGGTATTAATCTGCTGACATCAATCTGTTCCAGCCTGAGCAAAACCTCGACACTGTGACTGTCCAGCCACCACCAATGGTACCAAAGAAATCACTGCACCCTTAGAACTACGGAGCCTATGGAAAAGGCTAGCGCCCAGTGACAGCGCTGACTACAGGGGCCAAACTGATGGCTAAGGATGCTGGAGGAAGGAGCCCACCATTGGCAAAACTAGAGATGGACCAGAAACAACTTGAATCCAAACCCCTTCAGACTGAGAAGATTGAATTGTGAGTCCTCGATCTGAACCTACCCTGTGGGGTATGGTCCCTGGCTGGACTCATTCATTTGTGCACAGATTAGCTGCTGTTCCCGATGGCCTGTTGGAACCTCCTGGATATAATCCCAGTTGATCAGACTCCTGGGGGAGAAATCCTTCCTGGTTTGATCACTTTATTTATTGGCTGCTGCTTCTTGGAGAGAGAAATAACCTAAGGTATTGTGTAAATAGGATGACTAAAACCCATCAGCCCAAGCCTTGTGCAGAAGGGAGCATTCATGTTATAGAGTCATATCGTTTAAGGCCAGATGGAACCACTCAGTTACCTAGGCTGACCTCCCGTATAGCACGGGCTTCCAACACCCGCACATGAAACCCAGCACCCAGAATGAGAACAAAGTATCAGAGCCCAGAGGAGACTAGACCAGTATGTTCCACAGGCAGAGATTAGGAGAGATGGAGGTGCACCAGTACCTGAGGCCCCTGAAGTAGCCCGGAAATAATCAAGTGTGATATACCTGGATAATCCTGACTAGTGACCCACACCCACATGCTGCAGAGGAAGCTGAAACCCCCCCGCCCCACACGGTCACTGCCAATCTGAGTTGGGGGCAAATTCCTTCCCGGCCCTACATATGGTGATCAGCTAGACCCTGAGCATGTGAGTGACCACCAGCCAGCCAAGAGTCTGAGAGAGAGAGAGTCCTCGGTGTCATGTCAGAGGCCTAGCCCTCCCCAGCCAATGTCCCCTCTCCGGCCATGGCCATCCTATATGCTTCCAAGGAAGGAGATTGATAAAAAGAAAACCGGGATACATTGGGGAGCTGAGGGAATCCCTTCCTGACCCCTGCAGGTGGCTGGCTGAAGTCCTATGCATGAGCTTTTAGATGTAAATCAGAAGCGACCCCAAGGGCTGCCCAGCCCTGCCCCACACCCTCACAAGGAACCCCATCACACAATCCCACTCAAAAATTTGTCCAGATCTCTCTCAAAACTAATTAAGTTGTTTGCCTCACAGCTCCTATTGGGAGGCTGTCCCAGGACCTCACTCCTCGGATGGTTAGAAACCTTCTAATTCCCAGCCTGACCTGGTTCAGGGCCAGTTTATCACCATTTGTTCCTGTCCTAACATTGTCCTTTAGCTTAAATAGCTCTTCTCCCTCCCTGGTGTTTACCCTTCCCCTCTCCTCCTTGATGTATTTAAAGAGAGTAATTGGGTCACTTCCCAGGGGTCCCCCGTGCTAACTGTGGATTGGCTCCCTGAAACCACCAGCCTCTCGCAACACAAGCACTCCCTTCCAGGCTTCCACTGGCCTCACGCTCTCTCTCTGCAGGTTAGCAATAAGCACACACCGACCTCAGTCCTCCGAGCATTCCTCTGGAGCAAGCAGCCTCTGGTCCACTGAAGACTCCCAGAACTCTCAGATCTATTATTCCCAAAGGAACAGTGTAACCTAGCTTGCAAAATTCAAGTCAGGAGCCCCACTTTACTGAGCACAATACACTTAGATATGTATATATATATATATAGAGAGAGAGAGAAAACAAGAATACATTTATTATTAAAAACAGAGATTCAAGTGATCGTGAGTAAGAATATTGGCCACAAATGGTTACACAAAAACAAAATCATACCATACTTCCTAGAGCCTAAACTTAACTAACAATAACAAGGCATTCCCTGTCCCCTACAAAATAGCTTATCCCGAGTCCTTTCCCCAGTATTTTCACCAGATGGATCGAGATCCCCTTTTCACAAAATCAAGCCTGCTGGCAGCTTGTCTTCCTGGAAGGAGCCCAGGGTTTCTTTCTGCTCCCCCAACTATACTAGAACAAACCTTTGATGGTCACCTTAAAATAGGGTACTCCCACCCACCCTGTTTACCTCTTCCTGCTACTTTCCTTCTGAAGCCTCCGCCAGCACTTCAACAGCATTTGACTCAGCGTGGTAAAACATTGTATTGTGTGACACGCGCTACCCTGTGGTCCACCAGGGAGAAGTTTGTCTCAAGACACGCTACCTTTCACTGACCTGCTTTTACCTACAGCCCTAGCAAACATATTTTTAGTATATATACACACTTCCTCACATATTCTCTGTCCATACATCTCACGATGATTAGGATGACCAGTGCAACACAGGCTTCCAGTAGAGAACTACACCATCCCTTTTGATGAACCCATGGGATCCCTGTGCCCCTGTGTGCCCGTGCCCTGTGCCAGTTGGTATCAAGAGCATCCTTGAGTCACAGTAATCATATCTCCTTCTTTTGGCTAGGCCAAACAAGCCAAGCTCGTCCAGTTGTCTCTCATAAGATAGGCCCTCCATTCCTCTGATCATCCTAGTAGCTTTTCTCTGAATCTCTTCTAGTTTGAATTTATCTGCCATGAACATAGATCTGTCTCTTTCTGGTGTTGGTGTGAATCTGTTTTATGTCCATTCTTGCAGTTCCCTGTACATCATTCTCATTTTTCCTTAGGCTCTGGTCCTTGGCTATCTCTATCATCTCTTACTTTCTTCCGCAGGGACTGGCTTCCCTTCTTTCCTTCCTCACCACCCCATTGTCTGCCTGTTTCTCCTTCTCACACCCCAGTGCAGCAAACCTGTTACTCAAGCACCACTAGGGTTCTCTTCCTCTGCCTTGTTCTCATAGTCATGTCCTTCCATGGATCACCCTCCTCTTCTGGCATTTCACACTCCAGGTCCTTTTGTTCAGCAGGTGTCCGCACGTCTCGAGTTGTCTGTGTCACCTGCTCTCTCCTCTCCTGCATTATAGGAATCCTTGTCTGAATTCCATCATCTCCAGGGGCACCTCTAATCCTTGGATCTTCTCTGCCATGAGCTCTGTCAAGCGAATTTCATGCATAAGTAGCTTCCCGCAGATATCCACTCAAGGATGAAGTACATCCTGCAGCTTCTGTATCTGACCGTCTTCTTTGTCTTCTCCCCTCCTCAGGTCACTTCTAGTGCTGCCTCAGTAGCCATCGCCTTCCTTTCCTAGATCTTATTCCTAGAAAAAAAGAAATGGGGGACAACCCAAACTGCCACAGAAATGCTGATCTCCGCTGTTAGCTGCTAGCTGTTTGCAGTCAAGTTCGCTAGTGACTGGCTTTTAAACCTAACCAAGCGAGGTCAGCACCTCCCTTTCCATATTACATCCATATTTAGGAGCCTAAAGCAATGACCTGATTTTTAAAGGTGCTGAGTACCCACAGCTCCTATTGGCTACCATGGGACAACTCACATTACTCATGTAAGAGCTGAAGGATTGGGCCCTTAATTTTTGTTTCAAGAGCTACTCACAGTGTTTCCAGAACTCAGCGTCGTGAATTCTCCATCCATAAGTCACTGGTCTGGGCTGTCATTTATAATGTTAACTGACCGCCCACCGTTTTGTTTCCTATCATAAACAACCAAGAGAGCTTCGGGTAACTCAGGAAATGGTGTCCGTTTCTAAGAAATTTGCCTTTGGGTCATAGCTTAATCAGACTTCTAGTCTGTTAATGACATTTTGTGTATTTTCCATAAACAGTAAAAGCTGCCTTGAGAGAGGCTTGAGGGATTGACAAATAACAGGTGCTGGACGGAGATGGCACTTCTGATAAAAAGAGAAGAACTACTGAACGCAATATGCTTGAGACATTCTAGGGGTCACTCTCTTAGGGTCAAGATAGTTTCCAGGGAGGGTAGTATCTTGTATAGAATCATAGAACTGGAAGGGATCTCGAGAAGTCATCTAGTCCGTCCCCTGCACTCAAGGCAGGACTAAGTATTATCTTGACCATCCCTGACAGGTGTTTGTCAAACCTGCTCTTAAATATCCCCAATGATGGAGATTCCACAGCCTCCCTGGGCAATTTATTCCAGTGCTTAACCACTCTGACAGTTAGGAAGTTTTTCCTAATGTCCAACCTAAACCTCCCTTGCTGCAATTTAAGCCCATTGCTTCTTGGCCTATCCTGAGAGGTTAAGAACAACAATTTTTCTCCCTCCTCCTTGTAACAACCTTTTATGTACTTGAAAATACTATACATATACTTTTGTATAGGTGTCATTGTGTATTGTAGAGAGAGAGCTCTCTGAACGGAAACCGTAATGTATGAAGATTCTTTGCCTAGGGACTCTGAATGGGTAACCTTTGTTTTCTTTGAACCACATCTCAATCATCTGTTGCTGAAATGCCCCAGGAGTTACAATCACACACAGTTAGGGGTTTCCCCCCCGGAATCAGAACCATGAGACGCCAAGAAATGAACTGATTTTTTCATCAGTAATAAGTCCTTGGGCAAGCAGTTAGATAGGTAGGAAGTAGAAATGTTTCTTGAGCCAGGCATAAAGTGGATGGGCCACTCTGCAAACTGCCCCCAGGTACTGTAGCTGTGTTCAATGCATCAGTACAAACAGACAGCGCCACCTGCTAGTCCATCAAGAGTTGAGACTGTTCTCCTAGTCCCCAGCCTATCAAACAGTTTTGCTTCTCCGTCTTGACCACGTTAGCATTATCTAAGCACTGTTCTCCAGCTCTGATGGTACTAAGTAGCTGGAAAGCTGGCTTTCCCAGCTGCCTGGAAATCCCCATTTCCTAAAGCAGAGGGGGTGGTGGGAGGGAGGGCTTGTTAGAATAGTAGATGATACTGCTGGGTTGGACTGTTGGCAGAGCTGTTGGAGGGCACAGACAGGGCCAGATTAACGTTATGAGGGGGCCTAAGGCTAATGGGAGGAAAGGGCCTAAGAATGACATATTGCAAAAAAAAATGATGATGTCATCAAACATTTCTCTACAGACATATTTACATATTCTTTATTTATGTAAAATTAACAAATTTATTCTACTCTCACAACGCTCAATTCTTCAAATAGATACTTCTGAGTAAGAGGTAGCACGAGGGATGCGACGCTATCCTTCTCCTGGGCCTCCTTCCTCCGATCTAGTGGGGTGCTCCTCTGTATGAGGGTGGACACTGCAACGTCCCCCATCCTGCTCACCTCTTTCAGGTTTGCGCTTCTACCCTCAGCTCTCCTTCTGCACAGTGCAAAGCCAAGCCCTTTCCCCCAAGCTATGGCCTTTACACCACATACCCCATCTCACTCTGACTGCACTCTGGGAGGTTTTTTGTTGTGTAAAAGAAAACCACTCAGGAGTAAAATCCACTGAATTAGAGGAAGTAGTAGTGGGAAAATGACATTGAGTGGCATTGTATTTTAGCCTGTCCTGCTCTGAAAGCTGCATCCCAGTGTTGCAGTGGCTGAGGACAATGAATTACTGTTTTCACATTAAACCCAAATATTATTTGTGGGATCATACCCAGTTTGTGTAGTTAATCTCCAGTGATTCACCACATCAGGCCATTCTGTCACCAAGCTCTTCCACAATTAGAATCATATAATAGAATCATAGGACTGAAAGGGACCTCGAGAGGTCATCTAGTCCGGTCCCCTGCACTCATGGCAGGACTAAGTATTATCTATTCTGGAATGTGTGATCAGCAGCTCTGACATGAGGTTTTTTAAGCGTGAGTTCTGTGTGCACCAGCCCCCTATGGTTTGCATTTGTTTGTTTTAAACTTTCTGTAAGAAAAAGGTAACAGCTAGGAGTGACACAGATCTTTAGATGGTTGGCCGGTCATAATATTTAGCACTTCTGTACTATGTTAGCTCTTCAGAATCACTGTACAAATATTAAACAAACTTAATCTTAAGAGTTTCAGCTTTCGAATGACTAGGAGTTGACAAAACAGAGCTATTCCCTGTTGTGTTCTCTGCCCCCCTGAACAAAAAGACTTCACTGAAAGTCAGCATCTTAAAAGTACCATTAAGGATCTTTCAAAAGAACAGTCCAACCAAGACTGCTGTAGTTACACCCTTGCTATATCAGATGTGGTTTTTGTTGAAGTCTGGTGTAGAATGAAGGGTGAGCTTCCTGTTTCCTTTGCCTGTGTAAATCAAGCAGACCTTGCTTATTTTTTTCCCTTAAAGTGCTCAGAGTTTAGGGGAGGACAGTGAATGAGATTCTGTTTATACCAGGTGTGAAAAGGCAGAAGGGACCAAAATCTATTCTTGTGCAAAAATCTGTTCTCCATGAAGTCAATAAGGCTACACAGGTGTAACGGTCAGCAGGAACTGGCCTGTGTTCTCCTTCCCTTCTCGAATCACAGCCCATGCTTACCCAGCGTTTTCCACTTGGGGAAGAAGTTCGTTTGAGTTGGGGCAGAAAAATGAGGACTAACTTCAGGGTTATTTACCTTTAAGTTTTTGGAATGAAACTCAAAAGAAATCAAATGTGAGGTAACTTTATGATGGATTGAACTGCTAGAGAACCAGAAAATGGACAGAACCTGCCCTTAGCCTATTCCGCCAGTCTTTCTATCATAGTCTGCTAAGAAGTGGATTTAAAATCCTTGCGGGAGAGGGAGAAACCTACAACATTGTGTGTTCAGCTTCCTCCAGGGCTTTTGCAACCCGTTAAAAGTACAATGATGTGTTGGCCTGTGGAACTAGGCTGAGCATGAGGGAATAACTTGGTGGCCTGTACATCCCAGTACAGAAAAATACATCAAAGAAAAAAATTGAATGTCTTTGATTTTTAGTACAGTTCAATACAGTGTTGAACATTTCACAGGGCATCATAACTCTGAAGCCCTTCAGTGGAAGGTTCTGTAAAAGTTAAAGGACTGGTATCCAGAATGGGATGTTTGGTTTTGTTTTTCCTACACAGTGTGGGGGAATTCATTCCTTATACGTGGGAGGGGCAATCGTTCTGGCTGGAGCTGGATAGAGTGTGTGCAGGTTCTGTGCAAGCTTCCCTGCATGACCGCTCTGGTACTGCTGTTTCCCCGCGCCACTCACCGGTTGTCCAGGAACGGGACCCAGCACACACAGAAGATGACGGTGACGAGCACTAAGACCCAGTGCCAGCCTCAGCAGAGGAGAGGGACAGAGGGAGCTTCTTCCCTTCCTGACAGCTAAGCAAAGATCAGGAGAAATCGGAAGTCGGACGGTCTGAGAGTGGGGTGGGGAGGGGGCAATGCCACGGCTGGCACGGGTTCCTGTGGTAACCGGATTTTTAGTGTCCGGTCACCAGTGTTAACCGGATCCCTGGCGGTGTGTTCCTGCAGAGCGGTGCTGCCTGAGCTCCTGCCAAGCCGCAGGGGGCTGCTTTGCCTTTCCTGCTGGCAGGAACTCTCCAGCAGGGCTGCGTGAGCAAGCTTGCTCACCGTTACCCGGCCCTGGCTGTGCCCCCGCCTGACCAGTAAGAGTAAACATAAGAGGGCCTAAGGCTATAGCCTCTTTAGCCTAATGGTGAATCTGGCCCTGGACACAGGAGTGGAATAGCAGGGGGTGTGCAAGGGTAGAAGCCAGGTGTATATGGAAGAGCTGTGTGGAGAAAACTTATTCAGTCCTATCAAGAGCACGGAGATAAATCCACCAAAAGAAGAGAATTTAAAAACGAACAGAAAACAGCCACCAAAAACCCCACAATTGTTCTGAATCTTGGCTCAATTCAGATCAGCTCCATTGATTTATTAGTCAGAGCTAATGTTTATTTTGCCTTTACAAAAGGTCACAAGAAGATTTTTTTTTTTTAAAAACATACATAATAAACAAAACGGCTGTCTAAAGGAAAGGCAATGCACAGAATGACAGCTTCCAAACACTCACACCTGGGGCAGCAGCAACAGCCTTTGCTTAGCTGGCAAGTTGGAACAAGGAGGACATTCACTTTAACAGTAGCAAGGGTAGTGATAGCTCAAAGCCATGAAGTGCACCAGAATATAAACTCTTTGACAAAGGCAAAGTCACCCTTTGGGGTCCGTTCCCTCTGGCTCCTCCCACTCACCTCACCTCCCACCCCAGCTGTGGGTCTGTACATTCCACAGCTGGAGCAGAACAAAAACCCGTTCTCGTCCTCGTTTTTATAATTTTGCTGATGTGATTTAGCCGCACCCATGAGCGTCATGGTAAATGTTGGAGAATTAATGAGGAACTGGTCAAATTTCACAAGGTGGTGGGTGGAGGGTGCAAGGGTAAATAGTGCTTTTCCTGAGTAAGAATGATACTTCAAAAGGCATTAGAGAAACATCAAATGCTTTACAAACACCAGTTATGTCACACAATGCCTCTACTACAGATATGGAAACCAAGACACAAACAAGTTAAGTGACTTGCCCAAGGCTAGATACCAAGCCAGTGGCAGCATTAGGAGTCCAGACTTCTCATCCTGTGCTATAACTCACAATCATTCCCATCTGATTTCACTCTTACAGTTACTGCACCAAATCACAACATTCGGTAGTTCACACAAAAGGAAGCAAGCAAAATAATGTTAGAACAATAAATCCCCATAGAACTCTGCTTTGGCAGTATGAAGGTGACACACTGAAATTATGGAAACGTGTCAGTGTGAGGAATCCAATGATCCGCCCAAATGATTACAGAATGTGTGATCAGGAATTGTAGAGACGTACAGAATTGCTTTCAAAATATGAGATTCCTCTGTTGAGCAGGCCTTATCAATGGGACTGCATCACATTCTTTTTACATATCTGTACAGCTAAGGATAACACAGTTTATTATCATTTAACAGAAAAATGCAAATTTCTATTCACCATGCATTAATATTTCCAGTGCTTGCCTTAACTTATAGGCCTAACTTCATTATCTTGCCAAAAATCAGAGGAGGAAATTGACGTCCTGGTTTGAGGTAGGTGGTATTTGCATTTTCTTTGTATGAACTCTGACTCAAAACCTCATCCTGGCTCAGGGAGCTTTTAGTCATCAAGAGATTTGTCTCCAAAGTTATCGGTCTTTCCTGGAAGGGGGCAGGGGGAGGAGGGCAGGGCTAGGAAACTACATAGCACTCGGATGGTGTCAAAGAAAGACACTGAGTCTTAGCCAAAAGATCACATCCTTTGCTGATGCAAAGTAGCTCCGGTGAAGGAGATTGACCACAAAGATGAGGATTTGGCCTTTAAAATTAAGGCAGAAGGGATTCATTCTACCAGTGGTGGTACTCTATGAAAATCTGGGGTTCAAGTTTAACATAATTCAAAACTTCTGGGGCTGGATCCGCAGCTGGCGTACATCAGCGTAGCCCCACTGAAATTGCTGGTCTCGTCCATTGCACTTCTCCGGTCTATACCAGCCGAGGAGCTAGATCTTGGCGGCACAGTTTTCCCTTGGCCCTGCCCAAAAGTGCAAGTCCTGGCCTTTGTTTTGTTTAGAAGCTGGGTGAGAATTATTTACAAAGCAGATTCTTTGTGGTTTGTAAATAGGCCTCAGGTTGGGTTTTTGATTGTATTTTTAATTGACTTTTCCTGAAACAAAAATGGCTCCCATGGCAAAAAACAAATGTTCCCTGAGGTGTCATGGAACCCAAAACACCCCCATGTTCTCCTATCGCTAAGCCAAGGCTCTTGCTCTGCTGCAAGAATCTCTGCAAACAAACACAAGGGCCTTTGATTGTCTCCAGAGCAGGGCCCACAGACATGTTAAGTGACGTAGCCTCAGACTGGAAACTATACAGGGACAAGAGCTGTGCACTGAGATTTGCGCCATCAGCAAAAGCATCAAGGAAATCCTGTTTCCACCCGAGGGCAAAACGTTTCACAGATTCAGAGAGAGCTCCCCTTTTCACCTACCAATGGAAGGCAATACGGGGCGAGTGGAATACAATATGGTTGACTGCAGTATTGCGGACTAAAAATGCTCCTTTAGCCACACTTTGCCCCCCTCACTCCCTTCATATATGTCCTACAGACACATGTGCCACCTTGGTAAAACACCTGATGAAAACTTCAGTTAAGTTCCCCAGGGACATACTCACATGGCCAGGAGAGAGGCAACTGTAGGGCCTCATGGAGAGACCCTGACACACCACGGAAATGCAACACAGTAAGCGAGGGTCATGAGCAGAGGATGCCCAGGGGAAAATCAGAGCCGGATATTCTAGTCCCGGACTGAGTTCAGGAGGACTTGGGCTCAGAAAAGGAGGAACATAGAGCTGGGATTCTGGCTGCACTAAATGTCAGCTTGAGTTAGTGGTTCCTCAATTTCTAACACAAAATCTGTTACAAAAGCCCACTTCTTGCTGCTATGTTTAAAATTGCCCCTTTGTCCCTCTCTGCTCTACGTTTGACAAGCCCAGCTCTGCTCCTCTGGCAGCAACTCTCACTCCATCTGCAACTTCAGTGTGGCCCCACACTAGGGCAATAAGAGAGTTTTCCTTCAGCGATTTTGCCTCCATGTTCTTCCTCTGGGAACTGGCAGCTGTAAGTATCTTCGATCAGGCGGCACGTCGGTGGCAGCAGAATGCTGGGATGGTCAGGCTCTGTAGGGAGCACCCCCAGGGAAGGAGCAGACATTAGGGTTGCGGTTGTAAGGAATGGGAAGCAGCATTTCACGGGTGTCTGACAGGTGCACCACGTTCAGCGATGAATGAGCCTACTCTTGCTGTCCACCCGGAGATGTTAAGGTATCGTATCGCCTCAGAACTTGGAATGAGTCCAGGTGAGGCCCGCAAAGATCTCAAGTGCTGCAACCCACATGGAAAATCTATACTATGCGCTATACACCTCAACACAATGGCTAGTACCTCCTGTTTTGGAATGTCTGCCGGAAAGTAGGATGCTTAGGGGACCCCCATGATAGGCCCTCAGCCAGGGATTGCCTCATTTCTGCCCTCAAGTGGATGGATCATGAGCCTTGAAAGGACACGATTGGATCGTTGTCCATAATACTGGGACAGATTCTGACTGACACTAAGAGTGTGTCTACACTGCAGAAAAACCCTTCATGGAAGTGAGTCTAAGAATCTGGGCAAAATATAGCAGGGTGTATGTTCGGGCTCTGACTTGCTCCCCCAAACACCAGGTTTCAGAGCCCAGGGTCCAGCCCAAGCCCAAACTCCACACTGTTATGGTTAGACCCGCAGAGTGACTCCCATGAGCCCGAGTCAGTTGACCTGGGCTCTGAGACTCACTGCAAGAGGGCTTTTTTCGCAGTGTAGACACTTAAGGCCCCTTTGTATTGCTCAGACTGGGTAAGGGGGCCTTGGACTGTGTGTGAATGTATTTACCTCCACTTAAGAGCCCCATTGCACTGCTACGGCACTATCTAGTGCCTTCATGCAAACGAAAATCTGACCCTCGGTGTTGGGTGGGGTCTGTTATAGGTTAAGCCCAAATCCATCTCAAGATTCTGAACTACATTATACTTTTAGAAGAGCGGGCAGTATAATCTTTGCTTGTTCATTCCTCGCACAGTCACACACCCTGCAGGCCACAAATACTTGTGCACACAGCATAAACGCACAAAACCAGCCCCTCTCCCTGCTGGTTGCTGCTGTGTAAGCAAACCAGGAAACAATGCCTATGCATCCAGAGTGTCTGCTTCAGGACACACATCACATCTATATCTACCTGGTCCCCATGCAGCTCTCCGCCCTAAGCATATTTACCTTTGCAATATCCCTCTGAGGAAGGGATGGGGAGATAAATGCACAGACAGGTTTAGGGCATGTCTACACTACACTCAGAGGTGTGATTTTCAGCTCAGGTTGGCTACTCACGCTAGCTTTAATCTAGCCAGCATAGCTGAAAATAGCAACGAAGACTCGACAGCATGAGCTAGCAATGTGAGTACATAGCCACTGTTCCAAGTGGGTTTGCACAGCCTGCGCTGAAGGGTTTGCACACCTCTTGACAGCTTTTTTAAGCCTTGCTAGCTAGATTAAGGATCCCGTGAGTGTGCCAACCTAAGTTGCAATCACACCTCTGATTGCAGTGTAGACATAAACTGAAGTGGTTTACCCAAGGTCACATAAGAAGTCAATGGTGGAGCAGGGAACTGACCCAGATCTACCAAGTCCACAGGGTCTTAGCCACTGACCCATGCCTTCTTCCCTTCAGCTACCATGAAATAGTCCATACAGATGCACTGACCTTCAATGATGTGGAGTTTCTCTTTCTTCAGCGTCCATAAGCAAAGGTGCAGGAAGAAAGTCATCAGGATGAGAATGAATACACCCAGTGCAGTCAATATCGCCAGGATGGTGGTGTACTTGGAATCTGATGAGCAGGGGGGGATGAAATGAAATACATGGCCATGGATCACATGACCCACAGCCCAGCCCTGTGCTACAGGGAAGCCAATGCTTCCAAGGAAATGAGGGAGCAGTGTGTTAATCTATGTCTGAGTCAGACGGGGAACTAGGAAAGGGAAAACCATAGTACGGGTTATTAATCACAAAGGTCAGAACCGGCCTGGGATCATGTGTGCAGGAGATCATTGTTTGTGGGTAGCATGCATGATCTCTACATTGCTTAAACACGAGCGTCCTCCTCTCTCTATGTTGTAATGAGGACCTAGTATGTCTCTGGCACTATCTTTTCATCCATTTACTTTTGGCTTCAATGGAGTGTCACAGGGTGCAAGTCAAACCCAGCCTAGGGTTTCCCTGAAGGAACACAACACACAGTGGACCAAATGTTTACCCTTCCTGCAGCTCCAGTGACCTGGCCCAGTAGAAATTAAGATATCTGCATACAAAGGGCCTAGTGCTGCTGAGGCCCCTCAACTCCAATGATCTCTGAGAGCTGAGGGCATTCAGGACCCCATCAGAGATGCTTGGTACCTGTCAGGATGGGGCTCAATATTTTTCCCCATTAGTAACTTGAGTTTCCGGGGTCTGCTGCTAATTGACATCTGGGTGAGTGGGACCGACAACTGGCACATGGTGGGGGAGTCAGAGACAGACAGAAATTTGAATGTGGGTGATGAACTGCTAAGTTGTGTCTCTTGAGAGCGCCCTATTAAAGAGCAGCAGATGCCGGATGGAAAACTCTGATAAGCTGTTTGCTAAGGAACAGTTCTATTACCACCCCTACATTTCTCCTCCTGACCCTTTGATGGTTATTATTGTTAGCAATGTTTCATGATGTTTAAATCTGGGCTTCTCAGCAATTCATGCTGCTTCATAAATACCACAGGGAACTCAAGGGTTATTTCTTCCATGCCAAGCAACCATGATGGCACAAACCCAGGATCGGGCCTTTGTCTGGGGATCATGATCTTAAATGCCTTGAGGAAAGGAAGAGTCTGAAGTAAATGATCTGCCATCCAGGATGTACCTTGCTGCTGAACTGGGGTCACAGCTCTGAAAATGCCACATTCCACATTATGGGTATGATTTCCTGGCCTGATTGTTCGTAATCCAGAACTCTCACAGCTAAGAAAAAGGCAAAGCATTGTTAAGAACGTCTCTCTCTGTTTCTGTCCCCGGCTTCCGCCTTCTCTCCCACTCCACCTGTCTCTCTTTCCTGTATTTTTTATTTCTTTAGAGCACAACTGGCCAAATTATGGCTACTCTGGCTGGATACACTGGACCAGTTCTGCTGAGAAGCTTGTTAAGATTCAATCCCACCCAGACCCAGTTTCAAACTGTATCCATGCTTGGGTCAATTTGTGGCTTTGACCTGAAAGTAGGTGAAAAATGTGGGGTTTTTTTGATTTCCCCAAGTTTCACTTTAAGATTGGTTGGGTACAAAACCAAAGAAAAGATTTATGTGATATCCTGCCAAGCAAAAACACCTGTAATAGTAACCCAGCAGACTCTTGGATAATTAATTACTGTGGCTTTAATTTTTTTAAAAAATTTAAAATTAACCACTTGAGGTGTGTATCATGAGTATTGCCAAAGAAGAGATCTATCCATAAATACGTACTTAGTCCAAGGCCTACAACAGCTGTTCAGAGTGTCAGAATAGGTTCCATTTTTACAGGGTTCACAGGTGAATTTGAAGTGATCAGTGCCTAGGAGAGAAAAGAAAGGGGATTACTTCTGGGAGGCAGCATTGCTGCATAGGAAGACAAGTATGGTCCATCTTCAAACATTTCAGAGTAAATATGGAGAATGGAGAGGAGCGCTAATAACTGATGATATCAAGAAAGAGAGGGGTTTAATGCCTATTTGTTTCAGTCTTCACTAAAAAGGTTATTGGAGATCAGATACTCAGCACAATTAATATTAACAACAAAGGAGAAGGAATGTAAGTCAAAATAGGGAAGAACCAGTAGAATATTTACATAAGTTAGATGTATTCAAGTTGGCAGGACCTGATGAAATTTTTTCTAGGTTATTTAAAGAACTAGCTGAAGCAGTCTCAGAATCATTAGCCATTATCTTTGAGAAGTCATGGAGGACAGGTGAGGTCCCAGAAGACTGGAAAAGGGCAAACACAGTGCCTGTCTTTAAAAAGGGGAACAAAGAGGACCTGGGAAATTATAGGTTGGTCATCCTAACTTCAATACCTTGAAAAACAACAAGGAGTCCAGTGGCACCTTAAAGACTAACAGATTTATTTGGGCATAAGCTTTCGTGGGTAAAAAATGCATGGATCTGAAGAAGTGGTTCTTTACCCACTAAAGCTTATGCCCAAATAAATCTGTTAGTCTTTAAGGTGTCACCGGACTCCTTGTTGTTTTTGTGGATACAGGCTAACATGGCTACCCCCGATACTTAATATCTGGAAAGACACTGGAACAAATTAATAAACAATCAATCTGCAAGTACCTGGAGGACAGTATGGTTAGAAGAAATTGCCAGCATAGATTTGTCAAGAACAAATCATGCCAAATCAATTTAATTTTCTTCTTTGACAGGGTTACTGGGCTAGTGGACAGGTGGGAAGCAATAGACATACTGTACCTTAATTTTAGTAAGGCTTTTGACACAGACCCACATAACATTCTCATAAGCAAACTTGGGAAGTGTGGTCTAGATGAAATGACTATAAGGTTGGTGCACAATTGGTTGAAAGACTGTACTCAAAGAGTAGTTATCAATGGTTCACTGCTAAATTGGAAGGGAGTCCTACAGAGATCAATCCTACGTCTAGTACTATTCAATATTTTCATTAATGGCTCAGATAATAGAGTGGATAGCATGCTTATAAGATATGCAGATGACACCAAACTTGGAGAGGTTGCGAGTACTTTGAAGGACAGGATTAGAATTCAAAATGACTTTGACAAATTGGAGAATTGATCTGAAATCAACAAGATTAAATTCAATAAAGACAAGGGCAAAGTACTTCACTTAGGAAGGAAAAATCAAATGCACAAATACAAAATGGGCAATAACTGGCTACGTGTTAGCTCTGCAAAAAAGGATCTGGGGATTATAAGGGTCACAAACTGAATATGAGTCAACAACGTGATGCAACTGTGAGAAAGGCCAATATTCTGGAGTGTATTAAGGGGAGTGTGGTATGTAAGACACAGGAGGAAATTGTCCACATTAGGAAAGATGTGGACAAATTGGAAAGAGTCCAGAGGAGAGCAACAGACATGAGAAAAGGTTTAGAAAACCTGATCTATGAGGAAAGGTTAACAAAACGGCATATTTAGTCTTGAGAAAAGAGGACGGGGGGGAGAGGGTCTTCCAATATGTTAAGGGCTGTTATAAAGAGGATGGTGAACTATTGTTCTCCATGTCAATTGAAGTAATGGGCTTAATATGCAGCAAGGGAGATTTAGGTTAGATGGTAGGGAAAACTTTCTAACTCTAAAAAAAGAAAAGGAGTACTTGTAGCACCTTAGAGACTAACCAATTTATTTGAGCATGAGCTTTCGTGAGCTACAGCTCACTTCATCAGATGTATACCGTGGAAACTGCAGCAGACTTTATATATACACAGAGAATATGAAACAATACCTCCTCCCACCCCACTGTCCTGCTGGTAATAGCTTATCTAAAGTGATCATCAGGTGATAAGCTATTACCAGCAGGACAGTGGGGTGGGAGGAGGTATTGTTTCATATTCTCTGTGTATATATAAAGTCTGCTGCAGTTTCCACGGTATACATCTGATGAAGTGAGCTGTAGCTCACGAAAGCTCATGCTCAAATAAATTGGTTAGTCTCTAAGGTGCTACAAGTACTCCTTTTCTTTTTGCGAATACAGACTAACACGGCTGTTACTCTGAAACCTTTCTAACTCTAAGGGTAGTTAAGCGCTGGACTAGGCTTCCAAGGGTGCTTGTGGAATCCCCATCACTGGAGATTTGTAATAATTGGTTGGACAAACACCTGTCAGGGATGGTCTAGGTTTACTTAGTCCTACCACAGTGCAGGGGGCTGGACTTGATGACCTCTCAGGTTTCTTCCAGCTCTGCATTTCTACGACTTGGGGGCATGGGATGAATGTAAGAAAGGAGCACTTTAAGATGGACATTAGGAGAAACCCCTGAGGAGGGAGATCCATTAGATTGTAGACTAGTCCCCTAAGACGAGGTAGTGGGAGCGCTATTGTTTGGCATGTTGTAGAGAGAAAATGAAATAACACTTCATTTCGGGTCAAATGTAATGTTTCGTTTCCATCATTTCAAAATGTTCCATTTCAATTTTGACCTTCCCTCCCACCCCTTTTTTAGTCTAAATGTTTAGACTTAAGAAATCAATGCATATCTTACACTTGACTTTAATGGGATTTGAATCAGCCCCCTCCTAAAATCCACCTGTTTGTTTGGGCCCCATCGCTATAATTTCTGAGCACATCTTGCATATTTACAGAGCCATCAGGTCAACCCACCCTGCGAGATAGGGAAGTATCATTATCTTTCTTTTATCCATAAAAAATAAGGCAGTGAGAGATTAAATGTTTTTCCCGCCAAGGTCTCCCGAGAACAGGACCGGCTCCAGGCACCAGCGTTCCAAGCAGGTGCTTAGGGCGGCCGTCAGAAAGGGGCGGAAGAGTTGCCGCAGTGGCGGCAATTCGGCGGCAGCTTATCCGTTCCGCCATCCACGGCGGCAATTCGGTGGCGACAGGTTTTTTCACAGCTTGGGGCGGCGAAAACGGTAGAGCCAGCTGGCCCTGCCCAAGAAGCCTGCATGTCGCTGAGCTGGGACTCGAGTCCACATCTTCTAGGTCTCAGGCCAATGCCTCAACCACAACACCGCCCTATCTCCCCATTGTTAAACTATGATTGGCTGCTAAATTAAAACCTGCTATTCCACCTTTTTTTCATCTATTCTGGTTTTTTAGTTCCCTTTTCATTTCCCTTCTTTGCATACTCGCTGTTATGCGCCAGAGCTGTGCAAAATATTAGCAATTAGATTTGAAACCTGGTACTTCATGAAATTGGATCCATGTAATGACCCCTCCCCTCCAACCCTATGCATTTGGTTGGTTTACAATCAGAAAGAGGACTCTTTTGGAGTGAAATCCGGCCAAATTTTCACTCTGTCCATCCATCATTTTTATATTACGCTCCTCAGTGTAATTGCTGAACACACAAAGATGATCTTATTATAGAGTAAAATACTAGAGACGAGTTTTTGCAGTGAAATGTGAAGAATTTTGACATTTTGCCTGTTTGGCTGCAAAAAACACATCTTTTGAGGTAAAATTTTCACAACTCCCCTCCCGCCCTGCCATCACCATCATTTTAGAACTGCAAAGTAGCCCAGAAAGAGCTAGCAAATAATTTTTTTCTTTTTTTTTTTCCAGGATCTGAACTGTTTCCTTCATGGACTTCAGCCACTTCGAAGCTGATGGTTGGCTTGCTGAACCATCTCCTCCTTACCACCGGGCAGCTTCCAGAATGCACCCGTGTAGAGGACGTATGTACAATGTCTGCTGACTGACGCCCCTCCCCACCTTCATGGAGCTCAACTTGACAGACTCATTTGCATTCCTATAGTTACCTGATTTGTTCAGCTCCGTCCCCGCCTTGCACTGAGGGAGTGGCCTGCAGGTCGTACATGGAAGATTACTACACTGGTACCCAGGACTACACTTACAGGTCGGTTTCAGGATGTCAGGGCATGGATCCGAAAGGCCGAGTGTCACTAGGAAAGCAAAGAGTTAGACTTGGTATAACAGAGACCAGAAACTGGCTCTTGTTATTTAACCATGGGCATTACTGGGTGATGCTGGAGAACCTCCTTCTAGGCAGGAGGGTGCCTCTGGGAAGGATATATAGACATGGGGCCAAACACTCTCTCAGTTACGCGGGTGGAAATCCAGAAGGACTCTGTTTCAGTCAGTGGGGTGGCACTGAGGTAAACTGTGGAGAATCTGACCCACTGTGACTCCTCCAGCACACTGGGATTCCTAGAGCCAAGTATGTTGTTAGGGTAGGTGAACCCTGGGGCCAAAGGTAACCCCCAGAAGTCCCTGGCTGTCCCCACCTTTAATGGAAAATGCAGCCAGAGAGTCCCAGCATGCAATGCATCATATTACAAATGCAGGCAGTTGCAGTCCACTGGTACTTACTGCAAATTTGAGGCCTCAGTACTGTGAGGTGATGGGTGCTGCATGACCAAAGGGAACACCGCACAGGAACGGGCTCTGCGTTCAGCCCTTGGGCTTCCAGTCTGTTGGCGAAGCCTGTGTCAGAGGGCTGCCCACAGGATTCCAGACCACCAGTGCCATAGTTCTCATTCCCTGCCCCTCCCTGGCATTCAGACATTTGCTTCCAAAATAAATTCACACAGAGTCAAACCAGAGAGCCAACCCCCTCTGCCTTCCAAATTGGGAGAAGCTCAGCTCCAAATCTAGATCTGAACTCCACAACTCGTTCCCATCTCTAATTTTTGACACCCTTTAAAACAAAATGGAACAGAAAAATGAATGATGAGAGACTCCAGAGGTCATCAAAATGAAAGACTGATCACATAAGCTAGGGCCAGGGCTTGTCACACCAGGCCCAAGGGCGCTATTTAGAGGAAAGAGAATTGCATGTTTGCCCAGCAGTTGGGTAACATCAAGGGCGAAACAGGAAAAGTACAGATTAGTGCAACAGGACGTCAAACAAAAAGGTGTGTGGCAGCGGTCAGGCATCAGCGATTTCCTGAGCTGATGCTGGAATGTACAGGAGGATTCACCTGATACTCCTCAATTCACCTGTCACTCATTGGCCCCTTTTATTTTTTCCATTCTTGGATGGTTTGGAGCAAAACTAATGGAATTACTTCAGCATGTAAAGAAAATGAGCTGCAGGAACAAAGAGAGATTAGAATACTTTGTTCTGTACATAAAAAGCCTGTGAATTACGGGCTACTAATGAACCACTCCTGACCACCCTCAATTTGCAGCCAACTCAAGTCACTCAGCACCTTGTAGGATAAAGGCCCTGGGGTGGGCTGAGCTGCCATTGGCTGGCCTGAGGTTACCCACCTCTTTCGTCTGAATTTTACTTTTGGTGAACGAGGCTGGATTGGCAAACTGCCCTGGGGACCTGAAACCCTCCATGCACAGAACAGGGGCAGCATGGACAGCAACTGCAAAGCAATCTCCCCACACGCTGCCCCACCAGAGTGTCTCAGCGCTGCCCTGGGGCTGACGGGGAATTTAGTCTCCATGGCCCACTCATTTTGTGACCTCTCTGTTGAGACAGCCAGCTCAAAGGTGTGACTGGCTGCGGTGGATGTGTGAGACTGGGAAAGTGTGCTGAGACTCAGTGACTCACTTAAAGGCTAGGGTGGGGTGGGACAGGGGTACTTCACTGTGTGCGAGCATCACACCTTTACACTTGTCCGGAATCTGACCTCACAGTCACATAATGTAACAAAACCCTTATCTAGGCAGCAAAATTGCCTGCGAGAAAAATGGAACACCACAGCTGATAATGTTGCCATTTCTGTATGAGAACAGCATTTGCTGTTACACCATCCAGGGTAAAATTTACAATGGCTTCCAACCCTTGTGCTTCCAAGCATCAGTTGATCAGCAGTTGTGTGTATTGTGCAATTAACTGCTCTGAAGCATACAACATTGGCCACTGTTATAGACATGATACCAGACCAGAAGAACCTTAGATGTGGTGTGGCAATTTATAGATATTAAAGATAGAAGGGACCATTGAGATCACCTGGTCTGACCTTTATAAGACAGGCCATAGAACCTCACCCAGTAATTCCTGCATCAAGCCCATAACTTCTGAGTGAGCTGCAGCATATCTTTTAGAAAGACATCCCATCTTGACTTCAAGACTACAAGTGATGGAGATTCCACTACATCCCAATTTCATTCTTCCATGAACATCCTAAGACCTGTATACAGTTTGGAATGACCCTGAGCCTCTGGGCCTGGGTCCCTATTACCTTGCACCTTTGGTTGTCATTTAGGCCTGTGCAAAGCATTATGATTTAGTGGCATTTGACACCCACTTTGCAAAGGTGTGAATAGCAACACCAGGGGCAAGGCTGGGGGAGAATCCAGCTCTCCAACTTTTGGTCCCACAAATTAGAGCATTTCTAGCTCAAATGCAGAGGATGCAGCTACCCTGCTGGCTGAGAGATCTGGCAGCAAATCCTAATGAGAGCTGGGCGTGGCCAGCATGCTCGAAACAAACCACCCCTCAGCTTTGGGATGGTCCTGATCCAAAGCCAGATCCAAATTTTGCAGCCTGCTCTTTCCTATCCCTGCAAAGAGACAACCCAAATCCAGAGAGCCCCACACTGGCAACCTTTGGGTGCCAGCAGGTTCAAAAACAAGAACACAAATCTAGTCTGAATTTTGCAGCTCAGGCCCCTCTCTGATAACAAGAAGGGGGAAGCCCCTGCTTCTTCTTTCCTTTGCACACACTGCTGCTCCTGTCACACTGAAATTTGCCTTCCCTATGTTTATTGATTCTGTGGTCAACATGCAATGTGGACAAGACAGAGGAACCTTCCCTCACCCCCTTACCTGAGCTGCACGTGATGCAGTTTGTAATACCCTCCTTGGTCACCACTTTGAATTCATCATTGGAGCACTCGGTCGCCAGAGCCAGCTCCACCCGCAGCCACAGGTCCATCAACAAAACTAAGCAGATCCCCTGCCTGGGGAGACAGAGTCTTCTTTGCTTGGCCATATCTCAAGCTGCTCTCCCTGTGAGTTGCTACAGCTCAGGTACCTTGGCTGGGCTTATTTCAGCTCTGCCCCTGCCAAGCGCCTCCTGTCTCTCTGATGCTTTCTGAACTGGCAGAGCACTTTTTTTAATGTATGGCTACCGCCTACATGTGGTTTTCTTCCTCTACGCACAGTTTCTGTTTCGAAGGGGAGGGGGCAGGGAGAAAATTGACGCATCATCAAAGCTTTGTATTTTGACACAGTACAAACTAGCTGGAATTGCTACTAAGGACAGGGTTAAGGGGCCACTCACAAAGGACAGCAGTAAGGATGGAGCATCCTGGAAGCAGCAGGAGGACATTTTCAAAGGGGCTTGTCTACACTTGCAAGTTAACTTGGATTAAAGAAGGGTTTGAATGTTCAGCTATTCCAGAATCCCTCCTTGTGTAGATAACCCTGGGGAGTCCAGGTTTTCAACCTCCATTGCATTCAGTGGTTGATGTTTTGTGGATCATTCAGACCAGTAAGAGGTTCTGTCACCACCTGCCTGGTAACTTTTGGTGCCTTAGTGCTGTATTGCTGTGCTATGTATGACTCAGAGCCTTGATCCCAGTAGCTAGCCTACAAGCCTAAAGGTCTCACCCTAGCTTCCAGCAGCCCAGTTACTCCTTGCATGGTGACCTCAAAAGCCCTTCCAGTCCTGAGTCTCCCCAAATCCGTTTTCCGGAGTTCTTCACTACCAGACACTGGGATTTTACTCCTCTGGTTTGTCACCCCCGAAGGAGTGAAATCTGCTCCCCAGTTATCTGTTCACTTTGGGACACACACACCATGCAGCACAACAGAGACTTGTCTGGGCTAAAATTATACCAAAGGTTTATTTTAATAGAAAAACCACCGATCCAAAGAGGAACAAGTCAGGCGAAGCAAGCACATCCAAGTTACACAGAAAAGCAATGTAAAGACACAACCTCAAGTTTTACAATTATAGATTAGATAAAAATGCCTCTTCTAGTGCAAATTACCTATTGCATTTGCTCAGTTTCCCAGCGTGTCCCTTAGCCCTAAGTGGGGATCCAGTCTTCACAGACAGCTCCCCACCTTCAAGACGGTCCCTCGGTTCTAGATACCCTTCACGTCAAACCCCTTTCCTTTTAACTGGGTTTGCAGATTTTTCTGAAAGAAAGAAAGAAAGAAAGAAAGAAAGAAAGAAAGAAAGAAAGAAAGAAAGAAAGAAAGAAAGAAAGAGGGAGAAGTTCCCCCCGTTCTTAGTTTTCCAAGACTGGGATTTTCTGTTCAGTTTCAAGTTTTTTCAGTGTTTTCCCAATAATTGGAATGGTCCTTCACTTGTCTTTTTCTAGGTTGTACAATGCTAGGTGCTTGGAACGAGTCTTCTCTAGCTGGGGAGGCAGGCTGACCACCTTCCTGCCTTGCTGACCATCTCCCTGTTGTGAGGTGGAGCTGCAGGTTGCAGCACGAATTATGAGCACAGTTTTATCCCTACACAAATACATCAATTCACAACCTCAGTCTGTCTACGCATCTCAAAGGACCATCACATTCAGAATATTACGTCCTTTCCTAAAAGGCCTTACTTGACATTGTTTTATATATAATATTGTATTCAACCAGTTGGTTCAATTGTTTACTCTCTGGGGTGCAGACCCCCTGTTCTCCTCTTGGGGTGTCTGGACCCTGACCATCACACCAGGTTAGCAGGGAGGAGGCAACATATCAGGACAGATGGGCCCATTGGTCTGATCTAGGGTGAGGGATGATACTGGGCTAGACGGACTCCTAGGTCTGATCTGGCCCATCATATTTTGTGTTCCATCATTTAATTCCAGGAGAGCTTGATGTGTCTCTGAACCACAACATGGATTTCTCTTGGGGAAGGTAACACAAACTTTGGGCTCTCCCTCCCCTGTCCATCTCCACAAGGGAATCACTCATATGTGAATCCTTCTGTGTTATCCAGAGAGAGAATTTCCAGCTGCTCAGAGTCAGACACTTTCTGCGGCAACAGAGTCCTCCCTGGGGCCCCAGGGCAGTTTGGGGCCAGCGTTCTCTGGGCCCGGGCTGTCACCACTGCCCCATCTTCAGGCAGTGGCTAATCAGTAGATCCCACCGGTCTGTGGACCAGGCTCCCTGAGTCTGTGAAGTTCTATATTCATAGACTAAAGAGGGATGGAGGATGTATTGAATCACTCATTTGACTAACATGCTTTTAGACTAGTCAAGTAGCTCTAACTTGGGAATCTATTTATTTATTGCAAAGAGACACAGGCTACAAATCCCCACGTTTGATAAATAAATGTAAATGAATTGAGTAAAGTTATACCAAAACATTCTCGTTGTAGGAATTCCCTTCTGTTTCACACAATCTCTAATTCATTATCGTACCTGCTTCTAAGCTCACATAAAAGCCTTCAGAGACTTTCTAACCATTGCATTCCTAATCATTGCAGACCAAGCTCAATAATACAGCATTTCTGATTCAGTTTGTGCTTAGCGTTACAGCCGTCTCCGAACTCTGGACTAGAAAAGTCTTAAATTACTGTCCACTTCCTTAACCACCACAGGCCAGGTCCTGAGCTGGTGCAAATCAGCGTAGCTCCAGTGAACTCGAGGAAGTTGAGTCCATTTACAATTGCTGAGGATCTGGCCCCAAAGTGGTAATTTTCAACCCAGCAGCTGCTCAGGGAAGTGTCTGTGAGATGCTCTCTCGCTCTCTCTCTTTAAAAGTGCTGCACTATATGCTATATGGAGTGCTCCAGAGAAGCACGAAACAACCTTTTCTGTTTCAAAGGTGGTGGAAGTTACCAGGGGGACAGCCAATTTAGACTTGATTCTGACCAGCAGGGAGGAAATTGGTTGTGAATCTGAAGGTGGAAGGCAATTTGGGGGTAAGTGATTATAAAAGCTATTCAATTCTAGTTCATTCTAAGGAAAGGAGTGAGAACAGCAGAATACGGACAATGGTCTTCAAAAAAGCAGATTTTAGCTAACAGACTACTGGCAGGTAAGGGCCCATGGGAAGAAAATCTAAGGGAAAAAGGAGTTCAGGAGAGCTGGCAGTTTCTCAAAGAGATAATATTAAAGACTTAACTACAAACTATCCCATTACAAAGCGAAGCACAGGAAGAATAGTAAGAACCCAATATGGCTCCAACAGGAGCTCTTTAAGGACCTGAATATCAAAAAGGAATTTTAAAAAAAGTGGAAACATAGAGAAATTGCAAAGGAGAAATGCAAAAGAACAGCACAAGCATGTAGGAACAAAATCAGAAAGGCTAAGTCACAAAATGAGTTATACCTAGTAAGGGACATAAAAGACAATAAGAAGAGGTTCTTTAGGGCCAAGAGAAAGAAGAAGGAAAGTGTAGGCACTCTATTTAGCAGGAAAGGAGAACTAATAGCTGATAACATCAAGCAGGCTGAAGTGTTTCATGACTATTTTGCTTCAATCCTCACTAAAAAGGTGAATGGTGCCCAGATACTCAACACAATTAATATTAACAAAGGGGGAGGAACACAAGACAAAATAGGGAAAGAACAGGTTAAAGGCTATTGAGATTAGTCAGACATATTTACGTCAGCAGGGCCTGGTGAAATTCATCTTAAGGTATTTAAGGAACTAGCTGAAGCAATCTCAGAACTATTAGCAATTATCTTCAAGGAATCCTGGAGGCATGGGTGAGGATTACAGAACAAACATAGTACTTATCTTTAAAAGGGGAACAAAGAGGCCCCAGGGGATTATAGACCAGTCAGCCTAACTTTGATATCTGGAAAGATACTGGAATAAATTATTAAACAATCCATTTGTAAGCACCAGAAGATAATAGGGTTATAAGGAATAGCTAGCATGGGTCTGTCAAGAACAAATCATGCCAAACCAACCTAATTTCCATCTTTGACAGGGTTACTGGCCTAGTGGATAGATGGGAAGCAATGGACATGATGTATCTTGATTTTAGTAAGGCTTTTGACACAGTCCCACATAACATTCTCACAAACGAACTTGGGAAGTGTGGTCTAGATGAAATGACTATAAGGTTGGTGCACAATTGGTTGAAAGACCGTACTCAAAGACTAGTTATCAATGGTTCTCTGTCAAACTGGGAGGGTATAATGTTACAGGATTGCAAGTACTTTGGAGGACAGGATTAAAATTCAAAATGACCGTGACCAATTAGAGAATTGGGCTGAAATCAAGAAGGTTAAATTCAATAAAGACATGGGCAAAGTATGTCACTTAGGAAGGAAAGATCAAATGCATCACTAAAAAATGGGGAATAACTGTCTAGACCGTAGCACTGCTGAAAAGGATCTGAGGGTTATAATGGATCACAGACTGAATATGAGTCAACAATTGCATGCAGCTGGGAAAAAGGCTAGTATCATTCTGGGGTGTATTAACAGGTGGTCATATGTAAGACATGGGATCTCATTGTCCCATTCTACTCAGCACTAGTGAGGCCTCAGCTGGAGTACAGTGTCCAATTTTCGGTGCCACACCTTCGGAAAGATGTGGATAAATTGGAGAGAGTCCACAGAAGAACAACACAGATGATAAAAGGCTTAGGAAACCTGACCTATGAGGAAAGGTTAAAAAACTGGGCACGGTTAGTCTTGAGAAAAGGGTGAGGGAGCAACTCAGGATGGTGATCAATTGTTCCCCATGTCCACTGAAGGTAGGACAAGAAGCAATGGGCTGCAGTAATCTGCAGCAAGGAAGATTTAGATTAGATATGAGGAAAAGCTTTCCAACCCTCAGGGTAGTTAAACTCTGGCATCAGCTTCCAAGGGAGATTGAAGAACCCCCATCATTGGAAGTTTTTAAGAACAGGCTGAACAAACACCTGTTAGGGATGGTCTAGGTTTATTAGGTCCTGCCTTAGCACAGGGACTGGACTTGATGACTTCTTGAGGTCCTTTCCAGCCCTCCATTTCTATGATTCTATGTTCTACTCAGATGGTGATGGACACGGCATGAAAACATAGATACAATGGAACAAAGTGTCTCCCTAGGATACTTATAGAGCCCCGTTATCTCAGCACCTCAGTGTCTTTCCTGTATTTATCCTTACAACCCCACTGTGAGGTAGGGAAGTGCTAATATCCC